GTTTTTGATATAGTGAAATTATTAGGAAGTAATCCTTTTTCAGCAGGATTTTTTGAAGATACAATTAATTTACTAACAGTTAGATAATTGGAAGGAAACAATCCATGAAAAACATATGATACTGGTCAATTCAAAGAGTATCGTTTTTCATTACAATGACGCAGCTTCACAACTTCATCAAACTTTTGCGCAAACCCAGCACAAGCTCTGAAAGCTGAATTAGGATTTTTTATTGTACCCTCTGATATTTTTCTGATATCCTCTGATGCCCATCAAATTATTACTTGAATAGATTATTGCAAAACACTTCGAATGAAAAGAATTTCCTACTCAAAGCCTTAAAAATCTTCTTTTTAAGTTTTTGACAAAAAATCGTGCACTAGAATGTTATAGGAAATGATGGAAATTATTTGGTCGATTAAGTGAAGATGTAATAATTTTGTATTCTGGACAGTTTTGTTAAATAATTTTTTAAAAATCGGGTATGAATTTTTTGTACTCTATTATATTTTTTTCCATTTAATAATATTTAATAACTTTGTTAAGAAAATAATCTTTCGCGTGCAAAGAGATACGATTGTACAATATATTGACTGTTACATTATTGCTTATATATTACATTTGTCTCGATATTCATTTCAAGTCTTTTAATACATTTAGGGGGATTCTAAAGACAACTAGTTATAGTGTAAGTAGGACTTACATATATACGATGAAATGTCATTGACACATCACTATATATTATTATATCAATATCTTACTCACTCATGCAACATATACACATAAATTTTCGCATAACATTAACCTTTTAAATAAATGTCTAAGACCCGATTGCACCAACGTTACTTTAATTTTAAGTGAGGCTTAAAACTTTCTCTGTCTTTGTTTTTTTTCGCTTTAAAACGAGACAGAGGGAGTTTTAAGTTTCGCTTAAAGTCAAAGTAATGTTGCAACCGGACTAAGTCCAATTCTAAGAACTCCATGTCATTTCTTCGAGGAAACTACTAGTCTATGGACTACTATTTCGTAAATACAGATTGCACAGCTTTTATATGAAGCAAATATCACGACGTGACAGCTCTGGAGCGTCATAAAGGACTAAGAAATGGTAAAGAAGATCTCAATTTTGAACCTATTTGAAGTTCTTGGTATATAAACTCCATTTCACAGACACGTATTAATGCATATACTTTAATCCTGGAAAAGGATTTTCGAATCTGTAAAAGAAGAAAAAAATAATTGTTATATACGAAAATGATATGATGTAGTCGGTAATATACAAGCGGCTTTAGGATCGCCCTTAATAGTTTTCTTGAAAGAGCTATTATTCTAGAACTGTGTGTGTGTGCGCACGCTCCCGTGTATGTAAGAAGAAACGCTGTCTTTTGCATTTTTCAAGCATCTAATTTGTCTCAGCGGCGACACTTTTTACGAAAGAGTAAAATTAACCATTAAATAAATTGCGGTCGTGCAGTGTAATTATAGTTAAATTGCTGCAATTTTTGTTTCATGTAAACTACCGTAATTTTTGTTTTCAATTGATTGCAATTGATCGGTGATTATCTTGCTACGGCTACGTTTAGCCAATGAACCTTGCGTGAGCAAGTCCCTCAAGTTGCCGCTCTAGAGTCGTTTTAAAATCATACTGTTGCTAGTGTGATTTGTGGCTTTAAAACACGTGCATTAACAATTTCGATAATTATTCTAAGTTACATTTCAGGTATCGCAGATGTAGAATTCCTGGCCAAATCTTATGTAACAGTAAATATAAATTGGAATATCAGTATTATTATATTTTGCTATAAAATTATAAGATATTACGACGCGGTAGCATGACGACTACAAGCACTGTTGCTCTCGTGGTGCAAATCGGTCTTCGAGGAATTGGATTTTGGCCTAATACGCCGTGCGCCCTGTTGTTTCGGTGTCTTTGGATATTGACCATCAGCATAGTGCAGACTCTCCAATATTGGTGGATCGTTATTCATTTTAGGACTGATGATATGTCGCACTTGATGGATGGTTTAAGTGTCACCATAGAGTACAGCGTGATGTCCCTGAAACTGATTATTTTATGGTTCAACAGTCGGTAAGAAAATACTTTTAACGCAGTTAAAAATGGAAATCAAGATTATCCAGATCGCTTTTAAAAGTCATGATCCTTACAGCAATATCTTTTTTTCTCTTAAATAAAGAGAAAAAATTATTTTCCTCTCTATTTATTTTTTAATAAAACTTGCAATTGATTTGAAATATATAGAAAAGATAATATATTTAATCTAGACTTAAATACGACTGCTTTAATTAGTAAATTTAGATATTTTAAATAATACAAACATCACCATCTAACTGCAATAATATTTATATAATATGTAGATAAAGCTAAGTTTACCACTACATTTTTCGTTGTATTTTATACATATATCGCTTCATTTATCATCAAACGTATACTGGAAGATTAGTCTTGTTTCTTTTCCAGAACTTATTCTTTTCTATTTTATTGTATTTCCACTTAATATTAATTGTTTATCCATATATACCTGGATAAAATAAACTGCCGCAGTATATTTTACGACGTCCTAGCTGCGATGGCTACAGATTGGAGGGAAGCCACCAGCAGTGAAATGCACATCATGATGAGCAAGGCAAATCTATCGAGACGCTTTTCCAATGTTATCGTCGCGCTGCATGCGGCATCGTTTGTTTGCTTCGGCATTGAGGTGCTTGCATCCTATACTGATGATTACGATGATAATGAAATTGAGACGCCTGTTCGCGTGTTCACACTGAAGCTACAACTTCCGTCGCAGTGCAACGAGTCGCCGCTGTACGAGCTTGTCACAGTACTGGAGTTCTTTCATCAATTGGCATCTTCCACTACGACCGGCGTACTTAACTGTCTGCTCATCACGTTAGTGAGTACAATATATGATAGAAAAATTCTTTTTCCATATCTTTAGATTTACACTTAGGAGATATTGCTCGATGATGTCAATTATTAACAGTTTTTTTCATAACATTGTATTTTTGTCTATTAACATTGTGCTAACCGATTATATACGTATAGAGGAAAGTAGGGAAACCGTAAACATCTAAGAAAAAAGTTAAATAAAACCGATGATTATTTATCAATTATAAACGTCTTTATTTAAAAAAATACGCTAGTTATTATTTGGCTTTAAATTGCAATAATTATTAATTATTAATATAATTTTCAATATCAAAACCTTTATCGTTCGAAATTACTCGTTGACATTCACAGTTTCGTTACTTTCGCTTCTAACAAAACATCGAAAACACGTATTTATATTTATCTGAAACGGTGTTTGTGTTCTATAGTTTTGCGTTGTATAGTTTTTTACTCTTAATTGACAGCACTATAAAGCGTACATCACTCTTTTACTGAATGCGAAGTGAGTGATTTATTACTACTCTACAGACTTACGAGCAATAAAAACGAGAGAAATATTAGAGCAGAAATAAATATATTAACAATTCTATTAACAATTCTTTGTAAATTTAATATTAACAATTCTATGTAATACTATTGAAAATGGTCTGATGACAGACCGAAACGTTTGGTTTTATATATTATAATAAATATGGATTAATGTATGATCCTGCACAAAACTCAGCCTGTGTACGTGGATGAAGCCGTTTAATTATTATATTGTAAATATATTAAATATTAGAAAAATTAAAAATTAGGAATAGAGATCAAATATATATATGATATAAACATACAATGGATACAAATAAGATATAAAACATGTTATGTCAGATATATAAGACATATTATATCCTATATCATATTTTACATCTTACTTGCATCTACTCTGCGTAATATGTAACTTCTATTCCTATATATTCTTACTTCTTTAATATTTAATATTTATTCCTTTTAATATATTTATTTATTCATTTTTAATACATATATTTTCTATTGTATGTGGGGGTAATTATTTAGAATAGGGAGTCAGTTCCGATAACTTTGACCTTGACATATGTTGTCAATGTCATGACCCTGAGTGACCTCCAACAAGTGTTAGCCGTTACTCGTTATTCGTTATAAAGTTATTATCAAATAAAATTTGAAAAAATAATGTCTCATTTATACTATATAAAACATAAATTTTCTGCTTTAAAATATATTTTATGACTTTCTACGCGAAGCCAATTTTACTCTACTTTCCCTCTTGCCAAGGGACGTCCGACTTTCCACGCGAAACGAACTTCACTTTACCTCCTCTCTTGTCAAAAAGTATACGAAAAGAATTTCATTCAGGTAGATCTTGCTTCGTGTGGAAAGTCAAATACCCCTTGGAAGGGGGGAGGGAGGAAAGTGGGGTAGAACTGGCTTTGTGTGGAAAGTCGTATGTCCCTAGGCAGAAGGGGAGGTGGAGTGGAACTCGCTTTGCGTGGAAAGTCGGACCAATTTTGACTGTAATAACTTTTTAACGAATGACGAGAGATAGCTAAAATCTGTTGCAGGTCACTCAGGATTATGACCTTGACAACATATGTCAAGGTCAAGGTCATTGGAGCTGACTCCCTCATTCTAAATAATTACCTTATGATAGTATGGAATCTCTTTCTATATATTTATTTTTATCACGATTTTATTAAAATATTGAAATACTTTTCAGATTCTTCATACGAGCGGTCAGATAGAGATTTTATGTGATATATTAAAGAATATCTCTTCCGAAATGACCAATCAACAATTAGCTTTCAGTATGAAGGAAGTGATTGGCAAGCATCAGAAGATCATCACGTTTTCAGATAAAATTGAAAAAATCTTTTCTTATATAGCGCTAATTCAAGTCATGTCGAGCACATTGCTAACCTGCTGCATAGGATTCACGGTTATAACGGTAAGTAATCCTTTGCCAAAAAAAGTATGAAGAAATTATGTTCATTTTGCAACGGTAGTGATTTATACCGCAATTCAATATGTTGCAGTCGATCGACACGCAAGATTCGGATACGATTGATGGCACGGCACTAATGAAAGCTGTAGTGTTTTACATAGCTGCTGCGGTGGAGGCATTTATTTTTTGTTCTTGCGGAGAATACCTTACTGCCAAGGTAGGAACAATTGAAATCTTTCCACTTGATTCTTTTTGTGGAGATGTTAGTTTATGTGATTCTATATCGTTCGATGATTTTAAATAATGGCAATTGCATCTTTTTCATGCAGAACGCATAACTATTTAAACGAGAAGTAAATTTTCTTTTTTCTATTCTTTTCAGTATGAAAAGAAAAATCGGTAGACATTTTCTTTTCAATGTAAATATGCTGCAGTGCCCCCGTAAATATATATAATATGAATTTGTATAATAAATATTATACAATTACATCATATAAAAGTTTTATTAAAAAAATATCTTGCTTTTACGTATTAAATAATGATTATTTAAGTAATAATAATAATAATTTATTTACGATTTCTGTATCAAATTATGTTTGAATTGATTTTTTTTTATAAAAAAAATTGTTATATTAATTTATGTTATTTATCTCACTGACAACACAACCTTTTTGCAATATTGTTCTTTAGAGCAAAATGATCGGCGATGCAGCGTACAAATCAGTTTGGTACGATTTTGCACCCAAGGAGAGTAAGCTCGTCCTGCTTATAATATTGAGATCACAAAGAAGACTTACCATTACTGCTGGAAATATGATGGACCTGTCGCTAGAGGGATTCACGAATGTAAGACGTTGAATTGTTTGTTAATAAAATCTTCGTCTTGATGGATCAACTGATCATTGATATTATTTCGAACAATCGCAATTTACTTTAATTATTAAGTAATTTCAAGACAATCTTTCAACTGATTGTCTATTTTTATTGGAACATTTTGATTTATGTTTAAACAGTTTATTTATTTATAAATTTATTTTTATGTATTTTTTATTTTATTATTATTATTATCGAAATATTACTGCATTATTATATTATTATTATTCGATATAATTTTTTTAGATTTTAAAGGGCTCTGCTTCATACGTGTCAGTATTGCACGCGATGTATTGAAGTTCAAAGGCGAGCCATCTAGAGATGGCTATTATTTGCTGCTAAAGATACTAGTTCGTACGGTTCTTGTCGATTTCTGTGATGAACCGATAATAGTTATGCAAATTAAATGTAGGCATAATGTAGCAATTTACCTTCCACAATATATAATAAAGTATTTATTAGATTTTCATGATTATTACTCGCATATATATTCGAACCTTTATATTTTTTTTATATCATAATATACAAATAATTAAACTTTTTGTTAGCAAAAACTCTTTCTGCTATTTAAAAAAAAAAGTAATTTTTGAATTGGAAAGAAACGTCTATATACAACTGAATAATATCAATAATTTAAAAGTTTTTACCGTTTTCCGCATATAAAAAATTAAAAAAGCATATTTTATGGTTTCTCCATTGACATTAAATGTAACCGCAAGTTCTTTGCAGATCAGTTTTAAATTCATTTTGATTACAGTCCTCAAATCCTCATCATTCAAGGAAAGTAGTCTTCTGGATCGGAGTGCATTCTCAAGGCCCTCATCACGTTAAGCTAAGTTTTGAAACTCAATTTGAGCAGTTCTTTCCTTTAGCGTATCTTTTCCAAATGATTTTCAAATTTTTCGGCAGGCTATACCTCTGATACGTTAGAATCATGTTTGGACTCATATATTAAACACGCACGAAAAACTTGTTTTTTTTACTATTCATATTGTGGATATAAAAAAATGTACAATTTGAAATTTACTGTTGTGAGTTTACTGAGTTTACTACTTATAATATGACTACTGAATAACTCAGGGGGCGTTATTTGTAGTTCGAATTATGTATCTTATACACGGTGTCTCGTGAGACTTCTCCCAGTACGACTCATAGGAAAGTAGATGGGATCGAGATGAACACAAAAGTCCCATACCGTTTAGCAATATTCGTAATAATAATGAAAATATTAATTTTTGTAATTGTACTAATGAGAGCACGCCGAGAGAAACTCCGGCCCTCCGGCTGCTCGAGGTATAGCCCGGCCTTAGTTTATCTATTGGTTGCCGGCAGCGCGTTGGAGAGGCAAGAGGGGAAGCGCACTGTTACTCAGCGCCCCGCATCGCCGCTCACACGCGTCTTGTCGTTTCTTTCGGCGTGTTCTCATTAGTTAATTAAAAAATTAATATCTCGATTATTATTGTGAATATCACTAAACGGTATGAGACTTTTGTGTTTATCTCGATCCCAACTACTTCTTGTGAGTAGTGGGAGAAGTCACGCGGGAGACCCTGTAATCCCTGTATACACATTAATACTCGGATTTTTATTATTTGATTAACTTGTGATTAAGCTTAACTTGATGTTTTACCCAATAAGCTTCATCCACGACATCAACAGAGATAAAGCCGATTGAATAAAACATCAGGTTAAGCCTAACCACAAGTTAATCAGATAATGAAAAATTGGAAGCATGCTGGGTTCAGATTCCCATCCCGAGTATCACCTATGTATGACTCCATTCTTGTTGTTTATCGAACGTTAAACAAGGATGAAATGGCACCCGGAAAGTATATTCCCGAGTGAGAATTCGAACATGTCCTTAGTTGTTAATTAGAAAAACCATAGAATTGTGTGTCCAACAAAAATTGGTATAAACTTTTCCAAGTAGCACACAGCGCTTACAAAGCGTTAATAAAGCGTTAAAAAAGCGCATATAATCGCATTTTTAGCGCTTTGCAAGCGCTACTGTGTTATTTAGGTTTATGGGTACTTAAAATATATCGCCTAACTTACGTTTTATTTTTGCTTATCTTTTCTTTATTGTTCATCTTACGTTTCAGTATATTTCATTTTTTGCTTTAGTTACAACAAGATCTTCGCTATAGCTATTATTAAAGATTTTGTTAACAGACATCAGAGAATCATCGATTTATCAGATAACATTGAAGATCTTTTTTCAAATATCATACTTGCATCTCATCTGGAATACTTTGGTCATCTGTTACACAGACTTTGTGATCGTAATAGTAAGTCATAATTTTATAGATTTTTTGTGTTATAATTCTTTCCGTCCCTCTTTTTCTATCTTTGTCTCTGTGTTTTTATGTGTATTTATGGCGTATTCAGGCTTAAATTTGGGATACTATTTCTAATTCTAGTAAAAATTTGTTTCAGAATTTTTTATATAATTCTTCAAAATGTTTATATAAAAATTTCAGAATTAAAAGAAAATTTTGAATAATTTTATATTAAAAAAAATTTTCAGGTTTTTAAAAATTGTAACACTTTTCAAAAGTGTTAAAAAAATCTACATTTTTAAATAGAATTTTCATATATGTGAATTATGAAATCTTATAAAATTTAAAAAATTTGAGGGATTTTTTCAAAAATTGTAGAATGAGAAATTTTTTAAATTTTAGAGTATTTAAAAAATTGTATATATGGAAAATTCTAAGAAAAAATGTTGAGTTTCTTAGTATTTTTGAAGAATACTTCAATTTGTATAAATATTCTACAAAACTATACTATAATATGCATGACAATCTTACACGAGTTCGTTAAGTTTCCGTTAAGTGTAAAGCCGCCTTTTTCATCTTCGTTTTCTATATCCCTTTTGTTATATTTTCACTATTGCAAAAATTCTTTGTATTCTAGCTTCTTATCGTTTCCTTGTTCGACTACGCTGACGTAGTATACATCGCCTTACTAACTCAAAAATTGCTATCGCATATATTTAGCGCATTCAAAATTATTGTCTCTGTTTTTTATACAATATTCGGAAATACGATCATTTATTTCCTTCCTTCATCAATTCTGGTTGGTTAGACATTCGTCAACGCTTCAAGCCGGGAACACAATGAAAAGCAAACGCAGTAGGAATAGAAAATAATAAATTTCAACCTATCAGAAACCATGTATACTAGAATGGACGCTTTCTGATAGATTGAAATCTCTTATTCCCTGTTCCTATTACTTGTGCTTTTCAATATATTTCCGGCTTCATTCTCTATCTGTGATGTTTCGTATTCCGTCTGCTTCGTTCTAACATCCTTTCTGCAATCTTTTACACTTCAACTCCGAACTGCACTTCTCCGATACTCCTAGCTGCTACTTCAAGATTCTCTATCTTTTCCTCTTCACCGTTCCGCCTTTCGCTTTTTCCTATGTTGTCGTCACGTTCTTCATCTTATTGCTTTCCTCTATCAGATCCTTTTCCTCACTCCTTTCCGTTCTTCTTTCGCTCAGCTGTGTCTCGTTTTTTCTTATCTATGCGGGCCGCTTCTATGATCGTTTGTACACATAGACTCAAGCTCTGCCTCTTAGCCTCCTCCATCCAGAAGAATCGACCTGTGCCTCACCATTTATTTTTTACTATATATAAATTTTATTATTATTAATATTATTATTATTATTATTATTACTTTTTATATTCATGTAGCTGCTTATTGCATATTGTAATCTTTTTCTCGACGATTATATTAATGATAGACATTGTAGCAGCAGTTCTGCTGGTGCCTCTCTAATTGCGTAATTGTATGCGCTTTCCTAGTATGTATTTTGTTTCTTATCCTCGTTTGTAATTTAGATCTATATACAATAAATTAAATAAAATTAAATATAGATGATACTACATATTGGTAGACAAATAGACCTTATGCAACAGGAAGGGGAAAAGATTTGCCAAGACAAATAAATATAATTTATCTACTACCATAATGAGATCTTTAACCAATAAACATCATAAGATTATTTTGTTTTCTCGGAGAATATTGATCGAAAGTTTTTCTTCTCATACTGCGCTGAGACAATTTTTTTTCGAATACTTTAATCATATGTTGCATCGGATTCCTCATAGTAACAGAGATTTATAATTTTTGTTTGAATTTTTTAAGTATCGTATGTATTTGAAAATTTTCCAATGCATCAATTATTGTTATATAAAAATTGTGATGCGCAAATATATTATACAAGGTGTTCTAATGTGTAAATATCATAACAATGCTTAATGGTAGATTTCTGAGATGATTTTGAGACGGAAATCTTAATACTAAACTGTTGAGGCTGTTAATAGTTTATGAATTATAAGCGAAATTTAAATTTAACAAATTATATCGTCTAAAATTCATATGTTTAACATATGGTAGAACGCAAAATGTCAATACCTATACCTGAACGCGCGAATTTTAGGCGATGTGATTCGTTAACTGTAAATGTTTCTAATTAAAAAATTATTATAGCGTCAATATTTTGGTACTACGATTTTCATCTTAAAATAATCTCAGGAATTTACTCTTAAACGTTGTTACGGTCTTTACCGGATACCTTGTATAGAGGTGTATGTCTAATTGTTGGACATCTTTGCGATCTCATTATAACCAATAGTAGAATGCGGCGATTCCGAGGCTTGAGAGTATACCAAACAGATTCATATACGTTCGTTTTGCTCTAAAATGCGAATGCGAGATATATACATATATAGAGAAATACGATGTTGTCCTCGGCATGTATATTATCCTCTATTATCAGATAAACAATCTTTTCGTATAGATCACTCTATAGATCCGATCTTTTTACCAACAATCTAGTAATTTTTTCAACAATTTTATATGGAAAAAGAAAAAATTACTAATGATTTCAGATACTCACCTTATTACTCTGATATATTCAGGTATGCACACTATGCATACACCTGCACAGGCAAACATGTGTTGAACGTGGATTTTTAATATTTAATAAATAATATTTTATATTTTCAGACTGTTATTTCTAAATGTAGTAATTTATATATGTGTTATTCACATTTTTGTTTCAAGTACCTCGTGGTATTCGAAATGGCAGTATATGGGTTTCAAATTCACATGCTCGCTCAAACCACATGATATGTAAATACGAATCTCCACTATCCAGCCGCAAGCAGAGAGCAAGTAAAAAGTTTCTATGTGAATGTATTGGCATGATTTCAAGTTACTTATTCATTTGTTGAAATGCTGTAAGACTGATCGGATATCCTTGAACTTCTTTATCTTGACACACAAAGCTCTCACGAAATGTACGATGGTGAGAGATGACCGCTTGCTTCTTGTGTGCCTGAGATCTCTGCCTCTTATAACGAACTTTCTTCCTGACCGTTTTCTTGATTTGCAGTCGTTAGGCACAGACGAAAGGGTTAGGATATTAGTGAAGACCTTGTTTTTTTACATTATTATCCTTTTGGAGGCATTTATCTTTTGTTTCGCTGGTGAATATCTAAGTAATAAGATGAGTATCCTAAATCATTAGTCAGTTTTTCGTTTTTCGTGTAAAATTGTTGAAAAAATTACTAGATTGTCGATAAAAAGATCGGACCTATACAAAAAGATTGTTTGTTTAGCATATAGATAATGAAGCATAATATAAATGCCGAGGACGACATCACATTTCTCCATACATACCTCTCATTCGCATTTTAGAGCAAAACGATCGGTGATACCGTATGAATCTGTTTGGTATACTTTTAAGCTTTGGGATTGCCGCATTCCACTATTTGTTACAATGAAATCGCAAAGACGTCTGACATCAATTACTGCGGGGAAGTTTATGAATTTATCGTGGAAAGCATTTCTAAATGTAAGATTTTATTGAAATTGTGGACTTTTTACAGCTATATAAGTTAATAATATAAATTAATATACGTATACTGCAGTAATATAGACATCTACATTCAAGAAATTGAATAATTATTCAAACAGTACGTTATTATATTGACTATTAACTGTTTTTCAGATGAATTATAGCACTTATTACAACAGTGGTATAACTTACAATTAATTATTAAAAAAAATATAAACAATCAGTGCCGTAATGTGTGTATAAATTCACAATTTTTAATACCTAGACAACAGTTGGAAAAATCATCGATATAATGGTCCACATCTGGATAATTAATTTTATAACTGTATATTGCACACACACAATATACATTTAGTGTTAATATTATATCGTTTTTATTGTGGGAAGTGCTAAGAAATATTCCGTTTTTCATGTTTGATATCTTCGACATCTTTGATATATCTTATATAACGCATTATTTTCAAGTCAAAATTAGACATTCATCTTCATCTAAATGTGCATATATAAATACGTATATAATATAAGAAGAGTTAAATATCACTTTTAAACATGACAATATATTTAATAATAATTTAAGGGTATGTTAATAATATATCAGAAGTAGAAGCAATTTCGAGTATTTCACTTATTTTATGTTGTATGCAATTGAAGATATGTAAATATAATTTATATTGTATTTTATTATTCGTTTCATGATTGTTTGCAATGATAATGATGATAATGTTTTGTTTTATCGATCAATGTGCACAGTAAATTAATTCATTGCGTATTATTTAATTTTTCAGAGTTTGAAAGCCGACATCGTACATATCTGCTTTTTATATGCAATGTATTGACACTGAGGGAAATATATATACCCTAGATTGTGTATACACGCTGTGATAAGTCAAAGTATTTATTTTTATAAATTAATTGTAATAATTTAATAATACACGTCGTGGATACAAAATATATATGTACTTTTATCATGTTATTTTAGTTAATCCTATGATATGCAAGAAAAATTTAATTTTATACTTTTATAAGTTGGTGCTAATGATTTGGTGAAATTGTGCATTTTCCTGATATCCATCAAATTATCACTTGAATGGATCATTGCAAAACATTCTGAATGAAAAGAATTTCCTATATTTCGAGGCTTATATTTTGAGGTCAATACTTACTTTGAAATTTTTTGACGAAAAATTGCACACTTTCTGATATTAGAACGTTATAAAAAATGATGGAAATTATTTGGTCGATTAAGTAAAGATATAATAATTTTGTGTTCCAGACAGTTAAATGACTTTAAAAAATCGAATATAAATTTTTTGCACTCTAATATATTTTGTTCTATTTAATAATATTTAATAACATTATTAAGAAAATAATCTTTCGCATGCACAGAAATACAACTGTATAATATATTGCCCATTATATTTTTGCTTAATTTCGTCTCGATATTCATTTTGTGTTTTTCAGTATATTTAATATTTTTCTTGAAAGAGCTATTCTAGAACTGCGAACGCTCCCATGAATGTAAGTAGAAATGACTGTCTCTTGCATTTTTCAAGCAATTAATTTGTTCCATCGGCGACATTTTTTACGAAGGAGTAAGACTAACCATTATGTATTGCGGTTGTGCATCGTAATTATAGCTGAAAAGCTGCAATTTTAATCCCCTTTGTTTCATGTAAACTGCTATAACTTTGTTTTCAGTTGATTGCAATTGATCGGTGATTACCTTGCTATGGTTACGTTTAGCCAGTGAACTATGCGCGATCAACATGTCGCTCTAGAGTCGTTTTACTATTATTGGCATTGTGATCGTGGTACTACGACGTTAACAATTTTGACAAGTATTCCAAGTTACATTTCAGATATCGCAGATGTCGAATTATTGTTCAAATCTTACGTAACAGTGAATATAAATTGAAATATCGGTATAATTATATTTTGCTATAAAATTGTAAGATGTCACGACGCGATAACATGATTACAAGCACTGTTGCTCTTTCGGTACAAATCGGTCTTCGAAGTATTGGGTTTTGGCCTAATACGCCTTGTGCCTTGTTGTTTCGATGCTTTTGGATATTGACCATCGGTATAGTGCAGACTTTTCAATATTGGTGGATCATTATTCACTTAAGAACCGACGATATGTCGTACTTGATGGATGGTTTAAGTGTCACTATAGAGTACAGTGTGATGTCTCTAAAACTGATTATTTTGTGGTTCAATAGTCGGTAAGAAAATATTTTCTATGCAGTCAAAAATCAAAAGTCAAGTTTATTCATATCATTTTAAAAAATCATGATTCTTATAGCACTATCTTTTTTCTCGTAAGTAGAGAAAAAAATTATGTCTTCCTCTATCTATTTTTCAATAAAATTTCCAATTGATTTGAAATGTATAGGAAAGAAGATATATTTAATCCAGGCTTGTGAATACGACAGCTTTTATTAGTTAATTTATACAATATAAACGTCACTATCTAACTGTAATAATATTTATGTATAATATATAGGTGAAGATCTAAATTTATCATTACATTTTTCATCATAATTTATATATCACTTCATTTATTATCAAATGTACATTGGAAGATCAGATCTGTTTCCTTTCCAGAACATATTCTTTTCCATCTTATTGTATTCCTATTTACTGTTAACTGTTTATCCATACACCTGGATAGAATAAACTGCCGCAGTATATTTTACGACGTCCTAGCTGCGATGGCTGCAGATTGGAGGGAAGCCACCAGCAGCGAAATGCATATCATGATGAGCAAGGCAAATCTATCGCGGCGCTTTTCCAATGTTATCATCGGGCTTCATTCGGTAGCGGTGATATGCTTCGGCATTGAGGTGCTCGCATCCCATACCAACGATTACGATCATGGAATTGAGACGCCTGTTCGCGCGTTCACATTGAAGCTACAGCTCCCGTTACAATGCAACGAGTCGCCGCTGTACGAGCTCGTTATGAGTCTGGAGTTCTTTCATCAATTGGCATCTTCCACTGCGACCGGCGTACTTAACAGTCTACTCATCACGTTGGTGAGTGCAATATACGATAGAAAGATTCTCTTTCGATATTTTTATACTTACATTTAGGCGATATTGTATGTTATGCATTTCACGTCAGTTGCTGTATTTTTCACATAACATTTCACATAACACTTTTATTTATTAACTAACTATTATGCTAACAGATTATATATTACAGAAGTAGAGGAGAGTGGGAAATTGAAAGTATCTAAAAATAACTTAAATAAAGCCGGTGATTGTTTACTAATCACAAACGTGTTTTCAAAAAAAATGCTCTAAATTGTTCTAAAATGCTTTAAGTTGCAATAATTAACATTTATATATAAACGATATAATTTTAAACAACAAACAAAATCTTTGTCGTTCGAAATTACTTGTCGCTACACGAGGCAATGCCGAATTAAGTTTTATTTTTATTTAAAATTTTATTTTTATATTGTTAACTATTTTATTTTGAAGTCAATATCCTTTTAAAAATTTTTTTAATTGAGTAACAGTCGTCGACTCTGTTTAATTTTTTTCTTAAATGTTCGCAATTCTCTTGCTCTCCCCTCTATCAAAAAACATCGAAAACGATATTTATCTTAAACGATGTGTGTGTTCAATAGTTTCGTGTTGCATAGTTAGATTAATCTTAATTGACAGTACTACACTGAAAGACAAGATTGGCTGCTGCAGTAAATTAGATGGTAAAATATGGCATAGCATTTTTAATTGGCTGCAGCATCCAATCTTTTCTTTCATTGCAATGCTGTCAATTTATAAGATTAATCTAACTATACATAATTTATTTTGTGTACCACGTGATTAGCAACTATTATGATAGTGTGGAACCATTTTCTATTTATTTATATCACGGTTTTATAGAAATACGTTTTCAGATTCTTCATACGAGCGGTCAGATAGAAATTTTGTGTGATACATTAAGAAATATTTCTCCCAAAATGAACAATCAACAACTAACTTTCTGTATGAAGGAAGCGATTGGCAAGCATCAGAAGATCATCACTTTTTCAGACAAAATTGATAAAATCTTCTCTTATATAGCGCTAATTCAATTCATGTCGAGCACACTGCTAACCTGCTGCATAGGATTCACGGTCATAACAGTAAGTAATCCTTTGCCAAAAATAAAGAGTATAAAGAAACGATGTTCATTTTACAACGAAAACGATTTATATCACGATTTGATGTTGCAGTCCATCAACATGCAAGATTCGGATACGGTCGATGGCACGGCACTAATGAAAGCTGTAGTGTTTTACATGGCTGCTGCCGTGGAGGCGTTTACTTTCTGCTTTTGCGGAGAATACCTCACTGCCAAGGTCGGAACAATCGAGATCTTTTCGCTTGATTCTCTTTATAGAGAAGTCAATTTATGCGATTCGGCTATACATCGTGCGATGATTTTAAATAATCACAATTGCGTCTTTTTTATGGAGGACATTCATTTAAAAAAGAAGTTAAACCTTCTTTTTCCTTTTCTTTTCAATGCGAAAAGAAAAGTCGATAGATATTTTCTTTTCAATGTAAATATGTTGCAATGACCTCATAATAATTATATGAATTTGTATAATATATATTGTGTCATGTGCAAGTTTTATTAAAAAAACATCTTGCTTATACGTATTAATTAATTATTATTACTTATATAATATTATATTTAAATAATAATTATTTAAATTAATGTCAATGATACAATAATTTGCCTTAATTTTCTATTTAGTGAGAATACATTTTTATGGTAATTGAAGTATATGATGATTTCTTTATCAAACTATATCAGAATTATTATTTTTTTTATAGTATAAAAAAGCCTTTAATCATTTATCTCACTGACAAGACAACATTTTGCAATACTTTTCTTCAGAGCAAAATGATCGGCGATGCAGCGTACAAATCAGTTTGGTATGACTTTGCACCCAAGGAGAGTAAGCTCGTCCTGCTTATAATATTGAGGTCACAAAGAAGACTTACCATTACGGCTGGAAATATGATGGACTTGTCGCTAGAGGGATTCACGAGTGTAAGATTCCAACACTGAATTTTTTGTTAATAAATTCCTCATCTCGATCAACTGATAACTGATGTCATTCCGAACAATCGCGATGTATTTTAATTATTAAGCAATTTTATAATACAATTTTTTAACTGATTATGAAATATGTGTCTTTTTTAATAGAAATATTTGACTTACAATTTAAACAGTTTGTTTATTTATGAATTTATTTTTATCAACTTTTTGTTGTATTATTAAATATTATTATTGTTATATCATTGTATTATTATGTTATTATTATTTGGTATAATTTTTCTAGATTTTAAAGGCCTCTGTTTCGTATGTGTCAGTATTGCACGCGATGTATTGAAGTTCGAAGGCGAGCATTCTAGTACCTAGATGGTCATTACATGTTGTTAAAGATATTAGGAGATTTTCTTAATAGTTCTTTCTTGACAGTTTCTGTGATGCATGTGAAATTGCATGATAACAATTATGGAAATTAAATGTAGCATAATGTATCAATTTACCTTCCACAGTTTTTTGTAATAAAATATTTTAGATTTTCATGATCGCATTACTCGCATGTACCTATATTTAAACCTCTATATTTTTTTTTATTTTTATATTTCAATATTAAAGTAATTAAACATTTTGTGTATTAACGTAAATTCTTTTTGTTATATATATTTTTAAAAATAAAAGTAATTTTTTATCTGGTAAAAACCGTCTATATGACCGTATCGTCCAACTTACTTTTTATATTCTTGCTTTATTCTTTACTTTATTATTCGTTTTACTGAAGTCTCAGTATACTGAATTTTTTCTCTGCGAGCGCTGATCAATTTTCAGTAAGGTTCATGCATTTTTAAAGTAAGTGACTCAGTAAGTTAGCGACTCTATCGTCGGAAAACTCAATGTTTTTAAACTGAAAAGAAAAAAAATTCGAGATAGATCGCTTTTTCTACACGTCACATTTTCCTCTCAAGTCTATAATCTAATAAATTGGCGAGCATTTAGTTTCAATTTAATTCCATTTCTGTGAAGTATGGGTAATTACGATTGATCGACGGTAATGATGGAGTTCATTATTATGTTTTATCTCTCTCTTTCCATCGTTTTTACTTTTTGCTATATCCGATGTTATTATGTCTAAGAGATTTACACGGCTTGGAAGTAGTCGTTTTCAGAAGAAACATGTTGGAGTTACGCAAAGATACGATAGGACGCGCAAGTACCATCAGTGAATCGGTCGAAGTGGGTTTACGTTTTATCGGAATGTGGCCACATTGTGTATACGCGAATATCAACTGGTGGACTTATATCGTGTCGGTGGCAATAATGCAATACTTTCAGTATGCGTATATTTTCGCACACTTCGACCTCAGCGATCTCTCGGTTTTTGTAGATGGTCTAAGCATCACATTCGGCTACAGTTTGTCGTTCCTTAAACTGATCAATCTGTGGTTCAATCGTCGGTAAGATTAACGCTTAACGGTCTCTGCAGACAAGGCGAGTGATCGACCATGCCTTCATTTCGTTTTAATTCCATTTCTATCTTTCGCGAATGATATGGGATGTAAGGAATGTTCCGTAGAAAGTTGTTCGCCATTCTGGATACAATGGATAAAGATTGGAGCGACGCAATCCATTCGGACGTCTCCACAATGATCAGATACGCCAACTGGTCGCGTCAATGTTCCAACATAATGATCACCACGAATGCATTAGCTGTGTTCTTTTATGTAATCGGAGGTTTAATACTCCGGTCAATGATTCAAAAAAACGACGGTTCAACTCGCGAGCTGCCCATTAAAATGGAATTTCCTTTTAAGGTTGACAATTTCCCGATTTTTGAGTTAATATTGATACTTCAATTCTTTCATGATTTATCTGTAGCTTGTATCATCGCTATGCTGAACGCTTTGCTCGTTACGCTGGTAAGACTTCATTGTATTTCATGATTTAGTTGGTCCGAAAGTTATCAAAATTTTGTTGAATTTGTAAAAGACATAAATAATTATTTTTATATTACATTTTGCATTTAATTATAAATAAAGACACACACATATATATAAATATAAATATATAAATATATGTGTATACGTATGTACAAGCCTTTTCTCTTTGTGTTAGCTAATTCTTTGTTTGAAAACTCAATTGGAATTGGAAATTAATTGTACTAGTTTCTGGGATATTTGTGAGAGACTATTTATTGTTATATTCCATAATTTTTTATACTAGGTTATTATTTTTTTGACTTTTTAGTGGCATTGGAATCTTGTGTTTCAACAAATACTATAGTTTTTTTATTTTTAAACAATTTTGTGTGTATAACTTTTCAGATTTTTTGCGGAGATATAGCCATACTGCTGTAAAGTGTCTATAAAACTGAAGATGTTTTTTAGGTACTACACGTAAGTGGTCAAATTGATATTATGCTGCAAGGATTCATGGAAATTTCCTCTAAGTATACATCAAGATCTTCTCTGGCTGCTATTAAAGATTTAGTTAATAGACATCAGAGAATCATCGATTTGTCAGACGACATTGAAGACCTTTTCTCAAACATCGCATTGTTGCAATTTATCTGGAATACTTTGGTCATCTGTTGTATAGGCTTTGTGATTGTAATAGTAAGTTATAATTTTATACTTTTTTTTGTGTTATAATTGTTTCCATCTCATTCTCTCTCTCTCTCTCTCCCCCCCCTCTCTCTGTCTCTGTCTTTGTTTTTTTACGTATATTTATCACGAATTATTCTTAAATTTAGGATATTATTATTAATCCTGGTAAAAATTTGTTCCAACTTTTTATATAATTTTTCAGTGTTTTTACATAAAAATTTCGGAATTTTTTAAATTTTATGAATAATTTTCTAACATTTTAGAAAATATTTCAGATTTTTTGAGAAAAATTGAAACATTTTTTAGAAATGTCAAGAAAGTCTATACATCTTTTCTAGAATTGTTCATATATGTGAATTCTGTAATATTTGAAGATTTGTAAGATTTTTCATGCTGTAATTTTTGATGAAATTTTATAAAATTTGAAAAGTTTGCGAGATTTTTTCAAAAATTATAGAGAGAAAGAGGATGTCAATTCTTAAAAGTTTTTAAAATATTACAAAAATTATATATATGGAAAATTCTAAGAGAAGATGTAGACTTCGTCAGTATTTTTGGAGAATACTTAAATTTGTATAAAAATTCTAAAAAAAATTTTCTCCAAGAAAGATGCAAAATGCTTGGATGTTTATAAATTGTCTTATACCTAAGTATTATATACATATTGCAGTCTATTGGTACGGAAGAAGGCGCTACGACGATAACGAAATCCCTCATCTTTTACGTTGCGATAACTCTCGAGGCATTTGTTTTTTGCTACGCTGGAGAATATCTCAGTGCCAAGGTCAGCGTAAGGGAGCGTAATGGTAGCGTCGTAGAAATTTTTGATACTTCGCGTTAACTTCTGAAAGAAATTTATTATTAGACGCGATTAATCGTGGAAGTTTGTTTGTCATTGCAGAGTAAATCCATCAGTGATGCTGCATACGAGTGCCTGTGGTACGATCTAACTCCCAGCGAGTGTCGAATCTTGATGTTCCTTATGTTGAGATCACAGAAACGGTTAACCATCACTGCGGGCAAGATAACTGATCTGTCCTTGGAAGGTTTCACAACTGTGAGTTTACTTTCGTCGTTCGAACTAAAACAAAAATTTTAATGTGCTTAATTGCCAGATTATGAAATCCTCTGCTTCGTATATATCCGTATTGAGTGCACTATATTAGGAAATAATGAAGAATTGCATTTGGACACTGGTGAGTTTTTTAGTATCATAGAATATTAAATTAAATTTATCTCAATGACAATAACATCAAACTGATATTTCCTGAAGGAAAGGACGTCATATGATTTCTATGCAATATGACAGGGATAGTGTCAGCCAAACGTTCAATTCTCCGTTGAGCGGAGTGTTCGTATACATTATATATATATTAGTACAAAGAAATTTCGCAAAAAGTATTTTGTATTTAATCATATACTCTGCAGAGGTCTAATTTTTGAATAATATGATTTTATTTACATGTAAAAAAGAGAAATGATATGCTACCACTCACTTACAAAATGTTACTATGTTATTACAAAATCGAGAATAATCTAGCTTTCATGCGCATATTCAATATCAAATTCTCCACTTTCCTTTTCCATATTATCTTTATTTTCTGCCTGTAGATATTAACGTTTCTTTTTTTTTTGTAATAGCGTACTTTTTTGTCGGATGTAGAGACGCTAATTGTAGAAATGATTATATCTTCGCATTTAAAAAGTTTTATCTCTTCGGCAATTATCAAGAAATATTACATGAGCTATTTTAGAGGGAAAAGTGGACGCGTTTTGTTTTTCATTCGGTGTACTTATAAGCTTTCAAGAAATAATGGGATTTGAATAGTCGGCGTACAATTACGATTGATCGAGGGAGGACCTGCGCTTTATCGTCTTTCTCCATGATTATTCGGAGAGCGACGTTTTCATTGCGCATTTTACTGGCCTAAGTTTACATTCGCTACAGTGCATTGACATCTCGATAGCCATCAGTTCGTAACGTATAGTGATTGTTGCGGAACGATGAAGCGCACAAGTACCATTAGTCGCCCAGTCGAAATTGGCCTCCGTTTCATCGGTATGTGGCCGGATTCGGCCTACGCGACTCTTTATTGGTTATTTTATATGGCGACAATGGTGATAGTGCAATATTATCAGTATACATATGTTTTTATGCATTTTGATCTGAGTGATATTTCGCTCCTCATGGACTGTCTCGGTCTTACTCTGGCGTACACTCTCGCCTTTCTCAAGCTCTTCGTCTTATGGTGGAATCGCCGGTAAGACGTATTTTTTTGTAGATGTAACTAAAAACGAATAATATAGCGATTTCGACAATAGGCTACGTCTCCGTTATTAATGAATAATTTCGACGAAATGAAGAACAAATTTATCATTAGTACCACGACTGGTATTTATAGTCAGTTTGTAAATTTAAGATCGTTCTAAGATGTCATAAATCAATTATTGGCCGATATTTATAGTCGGATCTTGTATTTAAGACCCGTACGTAGTCTTAAGATGTCATGAACCAATCAGAGAGTCGTATTTTAAGACATTACTTAAGACGGTCTTAAAATAAGAATGGACTATGAATACAGAGCAATATCAACGTCTTAAGACATTATACTTAGGATAGTTTTGTAATAAGAACGAAATATAAACCGATCCATGTCTAAATAAAATCAAATGTGTATTTAAATGTTCCTTTTGTTTCTTTCTTTGAAGAAATTTAATAATATGTACAATACTCGATATATAAGCTGCTTCCTGCAGGACATTTTATTATATTGTAAAGGCGATGAATGAAGATTGGAAAGAGTGCGTTATCAATAATTCGTATGAGTCCACGATGATGAGCGTAGCGGATCTGTCGCATCGCTGCACAAACGTGATGATTAGTATCAACGCCTTAGCTGCTTTTTTCCTTTCAATCGGCGAGCACTTGCTTCAATCGATGGGCGACGTCAATGGAGTTGACAATAATTCTCGGGAACTACCTATAAAGATGGAGTTCCCTTTCGATGTCAGTGAATCTCCTATTTTCGAGTGCTTTTTAATCGGGCAATTTCTTTACGAATTAGTATTGGCTTCTATAGTTGGTATGATGAATGCGTTACTCGTCTCATTGGTGAGTTTGCGATTCCTTTTCGAAACTATTTTTATGTACGTCCCTTACAATAATTAATATACGTATTTATTCTTTACTTATTTTTATTCCTTATAATTATAATAGTATCCTGCGTGTGATTTGGCGTTTGATTTTAATTGTTCCAATTTATAGATACTTCATGTAAGCGGACAGATTGACATTATGCAACAAGACATAAACGAAATTTCTAACAGCAAATACGATCCTAGCTTATCCTTAATTGTTATCAAAGGCCTTATTTGCAAACACCAAAAGATTATTACTTTGTCAGAAAATATCGAAAACCTATATACTTATATTGCATTAATGCAACTTTTATGGAATACTTTGGTCATCTGCTGCACTGGTTTTGTGATTATAATCGTGAGTAATGGCTGTGGATGTTATTCTGCGCTTTCAATGAAGAATATTTCTTCGTTGTTCTATTGCAGACCATTGGTACCAACGCTAGTGCAACAACTTCAATCAAATCTGTGAGTTTTTATTTTGCAATCACTCTAGAAATTTTTATTCTCTGCTTTGCCGGAGAATTTTTGAGCGCCAAGGTTTGTGAAGAATTTCATATATCAAAAACAGTTATCTTTTTTTTTATTAAATTAAAAAGTTAATTTTTATTAACAAATATTAAAAATTTTATTAACAATATTAACAAATATTAACAAATATTAACAAATATTAACAAATATTAAAAGTTATGTATTTTGACTGACGGATAACGTTGTAAAAGTTGTCGATTATTTGTTTATTGTATCTCAATATCTCAAATTGCATTTATTCTATTTTTAGAGTAGGTCAATTAGCGATGCGGTGTATGAGTCACTTTGGTATAATATGCCACCGACAAATGGCCGTATTTTATTATTTATGATACTAAGATCGCAAAAACGATTGACGATCACTGCCGGAAAAGTTGTAGATTTAACTTTGGAAGGATTTACAAACGTAAGATGTAACATTATTAATGTTACGTTCTTTGACATGCTGTATTATTCGTTTCTAATTTATTTTTATTCAACTTTTTAGATTATGAAGGCATCAGCTTCTTATGTATCTATATTAAATGCAATGTATTAAGTTCAGAATAACGTCTATCAGTTGCTATGTATGTATATTCAATGTTGCCTCAACTGCAACAATTTTATCAGGCAATTGTTATTCTTGGCCAAACAACATTATATAAGTTACAAGAGAAGATGTAAGATTACTTCAGTATAAGTTATTTGTTATGAACTCAATGAATAATTATTTGTCTATGGTGATATATAATCTATTTTAAACATTTCTGTGAAATGTTAATACGTTTTTATTAACTTTTTGTTTTAATTTTTAATATATTGTTACTAAATATTTCAGATTTAAAAAAAAAAGGTGTACGATAATGCACTTTATAATACCACCAAAAGTTTATCCACGTTTATAATATTGTATGTTTATAAATTTTTTTCAAATTATAGATGTAGCACTCACTAATTTCACGATTTAAATATGTTTCTTTTTTTATTAATATAAATATATGATAAAATTATTAAAACAATATATATGTATGTACGATTATATTTTACTTTTGTAATTATCTTCCGTACATCTAATTTCTTTTATCGGAAATATAAAACTTTTTGCGCATATCTGTGCGGCATACATGTATTTGTGTATATTATAACGTCCTTTGTTTTGCATTAAACAGAATTATTTGCTATTGCTCTCTCTTAGTCCTTTAACAAATTCAACATAATAATTGTGTTTTCTAACTTGTTATCGGTGTTGTACAAAAATTTATCAAAAACTTTGGTATCAATCCTTTTTCTCTTATGGAAATTCAATATCTTTTTGAAAATCAGTAATGAGAGAACGGTGCAGAGTTAATACAATCGAAATAACTTACATTTCTACATCATAGCTTTTTCTCGAGACATTTAATACAGAAGAATACGCCGATAAAGTTTGTTATTTTCTCCACTGTCGTAACTTTAGAGGTCTTTGTTTTTACTAGAAGTGGAAAACACGAGGGGAAAAACGAAATTAGTGAGATCGGTACTATGATCACATTTAATAGCTATAATAAACTGTTGTTTTTCATCTTTTGCGGTCGGTAGACGTTAAGTCTTTGCGCATTTTTTTTTTGATGGATATAGATGGACATAAAACTGCTCCTCGGAACAGAAACGCAGTTTCAAAGTAATTACCCGTTATTGTGCACTATACTAAAGTGTTCACTAATTCAGAAGAAGTGGACATTATCATATTTTCCCAATCGGTACAGCTATAAGCTTGCATTACATAATGCAATGAAAACATTCGAAATATAATTACAATTGATTCACGTTCAGAGTTCCTTGCGCTTTACGGACTTTCAACTGCGGTTATTTAACGGTTCAGCCATTACGTGAAGTACACTGGACAATATGCAAGTGTTTTTTATGCACTAAAAACCCGTTTGTTGACTATTTAATGTACGTCGGTTAACAAAGAGCAATGAAGCGTGCAAATACTATTAGCCTCTCAGTTGAGATCGGCCTCCGTTTCATCGGCATGTGGCCGGATTCGGCTTATCCGGATCTTTATTGGTTTAGCTACATGACAACAATAGCTATAGTGCAATATTACCAATATACGTATATATTTGTACACTTTGACTTGAACGATCTTTGGCTTCTCATGGACTGTCTTAGTCTTACCCTAGCATACAGCCTCGCCTTTCTCAAGCTTTTTGTTCTATGGTGGAATCGCCGGTAAGATGAGTTTGCGTAAGTGATGTAGAATGCATCTAAATCTAATGCTAATATAATTATGTTGATATAATCTTGATAAGACAAATATGTGGATGAAAAATATATTATTGCACCTTGAATAAAATCATGTATAAATAATTTTTATGATTACATTACACATGAAGGAATGTGTCCTACAGGATATTTTATTATATTGTAAAGGCGATAGATGAAGATTGGAGTAAATGTATTATTAATGATTCGTACAAATCCACGATGATGAGCATGGCAGATCTGTCGCGCCGTTTTGCAAATGTATCGTTCAGTATTTATGCCTTCTCTGCTTTTTCTCTATCAATTGGCGAGCATTTGCTTCAGTCGACCGACGACCAGTTCGACAATAGTTCTCGAGAACTTCCTATAAAAATGGAATTTCCTTTCGACGTTAGCAAATCACCGATTTTCGAATGTTTTTTAATTGGACAATTTCTCTATGATTTGGTAATAGCTTGTGTGGTTAATTTGATAAATGCATTACTTGTTGCATTGGTAAGTATACAGTGAGATTTAAAGAAATTAAAATGTTTGTATGATAGGTCTGTTATCAGTTCGATGCGACCAGTTCAAATTAATATTGAGACTATGTATTACTTTGAATAATTAGATATTACTTTATATAACTTATATGGATTATTTATTCGGTAACTCGAATAGATTTATCTATATAATATTTATAGATACTTCATGTGAGCGGTCAGATCGACAATATGCAACAAGATTTATTTGAAATTTCTAATACAAAATACGATCGCAATACGTTTTTACCCGTTATCAAAAATTTCATTTGCAATCATCAAAGGATTATTATTTTATCAGAAAACATCGAAAATTTGTTTACCTACCTTGCACTGATGCAAGTTTTGTGGAATACATTGGTTATGTGTTGCACTGGTTTTGTAATTATAATTGTGAGTAATGTTGATCATTTCTTTACGTTTTAGATCGATTTTTGACGTTCTTTTCTTATCTCATTGCAGATCGTTCGTAGCGGCGAAGATACAACAAATTTGATTAAATCAGTGAGCTATTACATTACAATAATACTAGAGGTTTTTGTATATTGCTTTGCCGGAGAATTTTTAAGTGCCAAAGTGTGTAAAAATATTTTTACTATTTTTCAAATATTTTAGATATACATTATGAATTTTTTTATTTATGTTGCGTCAAATGATGTTTGACGTGTAATTGACTATGTATTACGCATTTTAAAACTATTTCTACTATTAGAAGTACTGAATATGGAAATCGGTATCAACAAAAAATATTTTGAAGTTTATTATTATTCGGAACATTTTATACATTTTAAGTGTTACTTTGAACATTTTACATTTCATTTGTTTCTAGAGCAAATCGATTAGCAACGCAGTGTATGAAGCACTTTGGTACAATATGCCGCCAAGCGATAGTCGTATTATACTGTTTATGATATTAAGATGTCAGAAGCGATTGACAATCACTGCAGGAAGATTTATAGATTTGACTTTAGAAGGATTCACAAGTGTAAGACATGCTGTAAATGAAATTTTTATTTAATATAATTTCTTATATATTTTTATCAATTGCAAATAATCTCTTTTTAGATTGTAAAGGCTTCTGTCTCTTATATATCAGTATTAAATGCGATGTACTAAAATCATAAAGTATTAGACAATTAGAACATTTCAGTCTAAATAGTTTCATTAGAGGAAGGTCGCCGATACCGACATACCACTTTGTTTTTAAAAAATATCTCTTAAACAAAAGGTAAAAATAAAACTTTAAATACACAAATACAAACTAAAAAATGTCTTCTATCAAATAATATAAGCAGTTTGTATAATGTTTCGTTTGTAATTTTGATAATATAAGCAGAGATTTTGATGATATAAGTAATTTGCATATATGTTCCGTTTGTAAAATTTTGCAATATTTAATTTTTTCTTAATATAAGCAAAAATAAGCGTCTGATAAAATTGGTTTCAAAGTTCACACAGTGGGCAGTAATGTAGTACATGCCATACATTCTTATTCTTTTGATTTTTACAGAAATTATCCTTTTATTATAAAATATATACAAGTGTGAATGTATATAAGATTTTCTAGAATCTTTTCACTTCGATATAAAACATTTTGTTGAATTATATGCTTATTTATGCTATTCTGCAAGAGGCAAATATGTAACGCGATGATTTTTCAAGGGTTTTCCCATATATGTTCCATTGCTTTCAGTTCCGATAGAGTTATTTGACACTATAAAGCAACATTATAAAGATTAAGTTAGCTCATGATTTTTTTACTGAGACGAATTTGCCGATTTACGCTGCACCTCGATTTTATATTTAAAATCGCATTATGAAAAAACTAAGAAAGAAAATAATATAAATAAAATTGATTTAAGAAATTACAAGAATTTAAAATGACGTAATATTATTGATAATACAGTCACTATTATTTAAATTATGCAATTTAAAAAAAAAATCGTAAGAATTTTATTTTTGCATCCATAGAATTCGTTTTTAGCTGATTTCATATAGAAACAAGTCATAAATATACGAATTATGCGTTTACACTTTTTTAATTTACTAAACACATCATGTTTTTATTAGTATTAATAAAGTGCAATAGTTAGTTTCTGAGAAAGAAGGGGAGACCTATGTCAGTATCGACAACTTTCCGTCATACAGTAGTTAGTCGTCATTATTGGTGGTTGAATGAGGTTGCCCAAATTACCAGTCGTATAAAGTCATTTTAGTAAAATTATTTTTTACGATTTCATAGATTATACTTTATTAATGATAATTAATTGAATACGAAGTGGCTAATTCTTACTTGAATAAAAACTGTTACGTATTTGGAGAAGAAAAGGTATGCGAATATGGATTTTAACTATAATATACGTAACATTTGTTTTTTATCATTAAATATATCTTTAACAATTTTTGCTTTATAAAAATAAGATTTTACTTTAATTATCCAATCTCTGTTTCTGTTTTTCTTTATATTAAAGTGCTGTATATTTATAATTAAATATAATTTACGTCTTCAACAATTACTTATGTTTTTACATCGCATGCTGGCAATTTAATCTTTCTTGTCTTATTTCTTTATCATCATTATCAAAATCACCTTTGGCTATAGAAGAACCTGTAAGCAGAACAAAACATGAAATAATATTTAAGTAAAAGGCAAAAAATGATAGTAAAATCAGTCGCTTCTTAGATATGTCAGATATTTTACTATATGTCAGATATTTTAGTATAATAAATGTTCTATCTTTTTCTTCCTCACTACATTTAAAAGTCTCGCAAAAATTAACGTTTCCATTTCTTCTTTCAATTCTTTTTCTGTTGGATATAACTGAAATCAAGACTTTTTTTTAGCCAAGCTAGAATTCATTTTTAAAGCAATTGTATACATCATACAACTTTTGAATTATTCTGTTTCAGAAAGAAAAAGAACATCATCATTGTTTTTGCTTTCAATACCTGTGAACTTTCAAGAATTAATGGGATGAGTGCAATTACAATTGATCGTTATGATCTGCGCTTCATCGTCTATGCTATGGTTATTATTCGGAATTATACTTTGTCATCTCATCACGCAAAGCATACGACGTTTAAGTGTGCTTTTTATGCTTATATATCTATATTAAATGCGATGTATTAAGTTCAGAATGATTTCTGTCAGTTGCTATGTATGTATATTCAATGTTACAATAATTTCATCAGGCAATTGTTATTCTTGGCTAAACAACATTAAATAAGTTACAAGAGAAGGTATAAGATTACTTCAGTTTAAGTTATCTTTTATGAATTCAGTGAATAATTATTTTTCTATGGTAATTACATAATCCACTTCAAACATTTGTATAAAATTTTAATTCTTTTGTCTCAATTTTGTGTTTTAACTTTTAATATATTATTACTAAATATTTGAGATTTAAAAAAGGAAGTGTACGATAACGCACTTTATAATAACAAAACTTTATCCACGTTTATAATATTGTACGTTTATAATTTTTTTACAAATTCCAGCTATAGCACTCATTCGATTTATATATGTTTCCTTTTTATCAAAAAATATAAATACATAATAATTATTAGAATAATATATCTACATATATGTATGTACTTTATTTTATATTTTACTTTTGTAATTATCTTCCGTACATCTAATTTCTTTTATTGGAAATATAAAACTTTTTGCGCATATCTGTGGCATACATGTATTTGTGTATTATAACGTTTTTTGTTTTGCATTTATAAACAGTATTATTTGCTTTTGCTTTCTTTTAGTCCTTTAACAAATTGGACACAATATTTGTGTCTTCTAACTTGTTATCGGTGTTGTAAAAAAATTGATCAAAAAACTTTGGTATCAATGCTTTTTCTCTTATGGAGATTCAATATCTTTTTTGAAAATCATATAGTAATGAAAGCAGTTAATACAGTCGAAATAACTTATATTTCTATATTATAGCCTTTTCTCGAGACTTTTAATACAGAAGAATACACCGACAAAGTTTGTTATTTTCTCCACTGTCGTAACTTTAGAGGTCTTCGTTTTTACTAGAAGCGAAATACATGAGGAGAAAAACGGAATTAGTGAGACCGGTACTATGATCACATTTAATAGCTATAATAAACTGTTATTTTTTTCATCTTTTGTGTTCGGTAGATATCAAGACTTTGCGCATTTTTTTTTTTGATGGATATAGATTGACATAAAACTGCCCCTCGAGACAGAAACGCAGTTTCAAAGTAATTACCCGTTATTGTACACTATAAAGTGTTCACTAATTCAGAAGAAGTAGACATTATCATATTTTTTTTCCAATCGGTACAGCTATAAGCTTGTATTACATAATGCAATGAGAACGTTCGAAATATAATTACAATTGATTCACGTTCAGAGTTCCTTGCGCTTTACGGTCTTTCAACTGCGATTATTTAACGGTTTAGCCATTACGTGAAGCACATTGGACAATATGCAAGTGTTTTTTATGCACTAATGTCCCTATTCGTTGACTATTTAATGTACGTTGGTTAACAAAGAGCAATGAAGCGTGCAAATACTATTAGCCTCTCAGTTGAGTTCGGTCTCCGTTTCATCGGCATGTGGCCGGATGCGGCTTATCCGAATTTTTATTGGTTTAGCTACATGACAACAGTAGCATTAGTGCAATATTACCAGTATATGTATATATTTGTACACTTTGACTTGAACAATCTTTGGCTTCTCATGGACTGTCTTAGTCTTACTCTAGGATACAGCCTCGCCTTTCTCAAGCTTCTTGTCCTATGGTGGAATCGTCGGTAAGATATGTTCTTTTGCTAAAATGATAAAAAATGTATCCATATCTAATGAAATTATGTTCACATTGTATAATTTTGACACGGCGAATATGTGGATGAAAAATATATTTTTGCACTTAGAATAAAATCATATATATAATTCATATATATAAATCATATAAATAATTTTTTGTACGATTACATTACACATGAAGGAATATGTCCTGCAGGATATTTTATTATATTTTGAAGGCGATAGATGAAGATTGGAGTGAGTGTGTTATTAATGATTCGTATAAATCCACGATGGTGAGCATGGCATATCTGTCGCGCCGTTTTGCTAATGTATCGTTCAGTATTTATGCTTTCTCTGCTTTCTTTTTGTCAATTGGCGAGCATTTGCTTCAGTCAATGGGCAATCAGTTCGGCAATAGTTCTCGAGAACTTCCTATAAAAATGGAATTTCCTTTCGATGTCAGCAAATCTCCGATTTTCGAATGTTTTCTAATCGGGCAGTTTCTTTATGATTTGGTGATAGCTTCTGTGGTTAATTTGATAAATGCATTACTTGTTGCATTGGTAAGTATATAATGCGATTTGAAGAAATTAAAATATTTGTATGATACGTCTATTAACAGTCCGATGCGATTAGTTTACATTAATATTGAAACTACCTATTACTTTGGATAATTAGACATTACTTTATACAACTTATATGATAATTCGGTAACTCGTATAGATTTATCTATATAATATTTATAGATACTTCATGTGAGAGGTCAGATCGATATTATGCAACAAGATTTATTTGAAATTTCTAATAAAAAGTACGATCGCAGTACATTTCTACCTGTTATCAAAAGTCTCATCTGCAAGCATCAAAAGATTATTACTTTGTCAGAAAGTATCGAAAATTTGTATACCTACATTGCACTGATGCAAGTTCTATGGAATACGTTGGTTATGTGTTGCACTGGTTTTGTGATTATAATTGTGAGTAATGTTCATCATTTCTTCACGTTTCGTATTAGATAATGATATTCTTTTCACATCTTATTGCAGGTCGTTAGTAGCGGCGAAGGTATAACAAATTTGATCAAATCAGTGAGCTATTACTTTGCGATAATGCTAGAGGTTTTTGTATATTGCTTTGCAGGAGAATTTTTAAGTGCCAAAGTGTGTAAATGTATTTTTACCATTTTTTTAGCATTTTTGATATACCTCATGGATTTTTTTATTTATGTTGCATCAAACATTATTTGACTATATATTATGTATTTTGTTTTAAAACTATTTTTACTATTAAAAGATATTTGAAATTTGAATATAGAAATCTACATTAAAAAATATTTTTAAGTTTATTATTACTCGGAACGTTTTAAATATTTTAAGCGTTACTTTAAATATTTTAAATTTAATCCTATTTCCAGAGCAAGTCGATTAGCAACTCAGCATACGAGGCACTTTGGTACAGTATGCCGCCAAGCGACAGTCGTATTATTCTGTTTATGATATTAAGATGTCAAAAGCGATTGACAATCACTGCAGGAAGATTTATGGATTTGACTTTAGAAGGATTCACAAGTGTAAGACATTATGCTGTAAATGAAATTTTTATTTAATATAATTCCTTATATAATTTTATGAATTGTGAATAATCTTTTTTTAGATTGTAAAGGCTTCTGTCTCCTATATATCGGTATTGAATGCTATGTATTAAAATCAGAAAGGTGTTAGACAATTAGAACATCTCAGCCTGAATAGTTTCATTAATAGTTAGTCAACATTATTGTTGATTGAATGAGGTTGCACAAATTACCAGTCTTATAAAATTATTTTAGTAATAATTATTTTTACGATTTCTCGTAAAATTGTGCTTTATTAATGACGTTTACTATAAAGTTGTTTCTTACTTAAAGTTATAAAAACTGTTATGTATTTGGAGAAGAAAAGACATATGAATGTGTATCTTAACAATAATATACGTAACATTTATTTTCTATGATTATGAAATATATCTTTATATGTATATAGACAATTTTTGTTTTTATAAAAATAAGATCTTATTTTAATTACCCAATCTTTGTTTCTCCTTTTCTTTATATTAAAATGCTGTATATTTATAATTAAATACAATTTACGTCTTTGACAATTACTTACGTTTTTACATCGTATGCTGGCAATTTCATCTTTCTTTTCTTGTTTCTTTTCGTTATTATCAAAATCACCTTTGGCTATTGAAGAACCTGTAAGCGGAATAAAATATGAACTAATATATAAGTAAAAAGCTCAAAATGATAGTATAATCAGTCGCTTCTCACAGACATACCAGATATTTTACTATATGCCAGATATTCTACTATAATAAATTTTCTATTTTTCTCTTTCTTCTTACATTTAAAAATCTAGCAAAGATTAATGTTTTTATTTCTTCTTTTAATTCTTTTTCCGTTGGGTATAATTGAAATCAAAACTTTTTTTAGCCGAGCTAGAAATTCATTTTTAAAGCAATTTATACCATTATACAACTTCTGAACCGTTTTGTTTCAGAAGAAAAAAGGATATTATCATTGTTTTTGTTTTCAATACCTGTGAATTTTCAAGAATTAATGCGATGAGTACAATTACAATTGATCATTACAACTGCGCTTCATCGTCTATGCTATAGTTATTATTCAGTATTATACTTTGCCGTCATCACGCAAAGCTTACGACGCGACGTTTAAGTGCTTTTTATGCGTGTGTTGTGATGGTTTATACATTATTTAAAAAAAAACGATGAAACGCTGATTCTTACAATTATATTCACTGAATCGAGATTGATCTTCGTTTTATCCGCATGTGACTGACTTATCTGAATCTTTATTGGTTCAGCTGTATGATAACAGTGCAATAGTGCAATATTATCAATACACATACATACTTGCATATTTTGCTTTGAACAATCTTTGGTCCATAGACAGTCTTCGTCTTACTCTGAGGTACAACCTCGCCTTTCTTAAACTCCTTGTTCTGATGTGGAATTGTCGGTAAGATGCGTTCTTTTATGAAAATGATAAAAGCAGAATGTATCAATATCTAGTGCCAGCCAATATAACATAATTATACTTTAATATTACATAATTTTATTGTTATTAACGATTCGTATAAAAGTCTACAATGATGAGCCTGGTGGCATCTATCGAGCCGTTTTGCTAATATAACGTCCATTACGTATGCCTTCGTTGCTTTTTTTGTCAATTGGCGAGCATTTGATTCAGTCAATGAACATATCATCGATTTTTGAATGTTTTTTAATTAGACAACTTCATTATGATTTGCTGATAGCTTCTTAAATTTGGTTAGCTTGATAAATCCATTATTTGTTGCATTGATAAATATACCGAAAAAAATTCTTTAAGTAGATATCAAAAATTGAATAAATATTTATTTTCTGTAAGCAAATGGTCCCATTGGTACTATCTAAACAAATTTTTGTTGAAATTTCGTAAATTTTTTTAAATAATAATGTAGTATAATGTTATTCGAAGAAATTGTAAAATTTGAATGGTTATTTGAATGTTTACTTATCAATAACCTATTAAAAATAATTAACATAAATACGATACAATCAGTTTGAATTAATATTAAGATAAAGTATTATTTTAAATAATTAAATATTACTGTATATAGTTTATATAAATATTTTATGTGAGCGGTCAGATTAGTATTATGCAACAAGACTTAGTTAAAATTAAAAAATAACACAATCTCAGCACAATTGTACTTGTTACTAAAGGATTCCAAAATTTATTACTTTATCGAAAAATGTAGAGAATCTGTATACCTATTGCACTGATACAAATTCTGTAAAATATGTTGGTAATGTGTGGCACTGGTAATTTTAATTGTAAGTAATGTTGGTTTTTTAATTTTTGATAATTCTATTCTTATCTTATTCCCAGTGAGAAATGATAATGGAATCGACATCGAATCAATGGATCGATTCGAATTGACATTAAATGCGATTAAAATCAAAGAAGTTTTTAACGATTGGAATTTCTCATTCCAAATAGTTTTATCAATAGTGAGTCGTCACTGTTGTTTATTGCATGTGCTTGCAAATTTCGAGGCATTTGAGAGAGAGAGAGAGTATAAATTATTCTTAATAAATTCATCGAATAATGTCTTATTGATGGTTTACTTTTACTATATAAATTTTTTATTTATAGTTAAAAAAAGTTGTTAGGCAGTTAAAAAAGAAGCCGCATACAAACATATATTTCAACAACATTATAATAAAATTTCCTTTCATATATACACCTTTAGAAAATTTTTGTTTGAAAACAAGGTTTTGTTTCTATTACCTAATTTCTCCTTTTTTTGTATTGCAAATGCTATATATTGTATTGTAAATATGCTGTATATTTATAACTAATAATTATAATTTGCGTCGTTTACAATTACTTACGTTTTTACATTGCATGCTGGCAAACTCACTTTTCTTTAACTTCCCTATCGCCATTGTTCTGACAGCACTTCTGGCTGTAAAAGAAAACGTTCTGCGAAATGGAACAAAATGTTAGCGAATACATAAATAAAGGGCAAAAAATAATAGCGACACATTAATCGCTTCTCAGATATCAGATATTTTACTACAATAGTTCTCTGTTTTTCTCTTTTTTCTTGCATTTATGTTCTGCAAACATTGATGTTTTTATAATCTTTTTTATTGGATACAGCTGAAATCGACATTTAAAAGCTAGAAATTTATTGTTAAAATAATTATATGCTATTATGCAACTATTAAATTGTTCGCTACCTCAGAAGGGGAACCGGGCATCGTCATCGTTTTCGCTTTTAATACTCTCAAGCTTCCAGGAATTAATGCGATGAGGTGCAATTACAATTGATCGTTGCTGCTTGCGCTTCATCGTCTTTGCTATGGTTATTCAGTATTATACTTCTGCCGTTATCACGTGAAGCATACAACGCCTGTGTGTGCTATTTTTACGCATGACGTGACTGTATGCTTTTACCATTTAATACTTCTGAAAAAGCGATGAAACGTACAAGCACTATTAGTCGTTTGGTCGAGTTCGGTCTTCGTTTAATCGGCATGTGGCCGGATTCGGCTTATCCGAATCTTTATTGGTCTATGTATATGACAATGCTAGGATTATATCAATATTTTCAATATTCGTACATTGTTACGCATTTTGACACGAGCAATCTTTCAGTTTTAACGGATTGTTTGGGTCTCGCCTTAGCGAATACGTCCGCCTTTCTTAAATTATTTTTTTTACGATGGAATCGGAGGTAAGATTCTCCATTTTAACATCTGATTCGACAGAAATAACACCGAAGACGATTATTATAAGTGCTAAAAGAGAGAGAGAATAAGAGAAAAAAATAAAAATGACTTTTTTATCATATAATATTGATGTAATAAAGCATTTTAATTTAATTTTTACTTGAATTTTGGACGACGTTTGTTGTCCAGGAATTTTTCAAGGCATATAACTGTACAATTTTAGCATATAATTAATGAAGTTAACAGTTAATATAAATATTTTCTATAGAGTTGTATATATACATATTTAAACGTTCTTAGTACATATTTGAAGCTTTTTTTTCGTGATACTGATTAACGTGTGCAGTTATTCGATAAGATAATGCGCTATCTGCAGGACATTCTATAATATCGTGGCAGCAGTGAAAAGAGACTGGAATGATCGCGTTGTTAGCGATTCTTACTCCACCATGATGGCAATCGCGAATCAGTCAAGTCGTTATTCTGTCGTGCTAATCGGCCTCCACTTTCTAACTGGCTTTTCCTTATCCATCGGTGCTTACATGTTTCGCACGATAAATACTGACAGCGAAGCTTCAACACGAGAATTTCCAGTAAAAATGCAATTCTCTTTTGTGGTCTCAGAATCACCGGTTTTTGAGTGCATCCTTTTTGGGCAAATTTTTTTTCTAATGTTGATAGCCCCTGTGGTTGGTATGATAAATGCGTTACTTGCTACATTGGTAAGTACACAACTATTCATTTCGAACTTTAAAATCCCTCTTTGCAACTTTAAATACAAAAATATTATGTAACTGTTGATAGACAATTTTTTTATTAAAAATAAGAAGAAAGCCATTTTCAATCAAAGCGAATTTGGCTTATAATATTCATATGTGAATATACAAATACAATTACTATTTCTACAGATTGTCAACTAATTTTTTTATTAGTTTAGGTAATGTTATTGTTTTATATTTACAGATACTTCATGTAGGTGGTCAGGTTGACATCATGCGGCAAGCCATAATGGACGTACACAGCAACGACAAACTTGGTACATCTTTAACCGTACTTCGTGATCTCATTCATAGACACCGAAAGATTATTACTTTGTCGAATGATATTGAAACTCTATTTTCGTTCATTGCGCTGCTGCAACTCCTGTGGAATACTTTAATTATCTGCTTCTGCGGTTTCATGATCATACTTGTAAGAAATGTCAATTGCTTCGATCTTCTGATCGATAATTTGCTTTCTTTCGCAGGCTCTCAGTAGTAACAAAGGCATAATGGTTTTAATAAAATCGGTGTTTCTTTATACCGTAAAAACATTAGAAGTCTTTGTATTCTGCTACGCAGGGGAATTCTTAAGCTCCAAGGTAAGTAAAGAAATGTTTCTTACAAGTAGAATATGTGATTATGCATTTTTTCTTATTTGTTCTAAAACTATAAATAATAATAAATTAATTAAATTAAAAAATAGAAACATAGTTATAGTATAAATAATTTATTATCAATTTATTGACAACTATATAATATTGAGAGTAATAAATATTTTCAAACAATTTAAATATTTATATTCACGCATTTTAAACTCAGGTCATGCTTTTCAGAGTAAATCGATTAGCGACGCAATATATGAGTCACTTTGGTACAATATGATACCATCCGATAGTCGGATTTTGTTGTTAATAATGGTAAGATCCCAAAAGCGACTGACAATCACTGCAGGGAAAATTTTTGATCTGACTTTAGAAGGGTTTATGAGCGTAAGATATCGGCAATGTAGATGCATCTCTTCATTTTTCGTGTCTTTTAAACAAAAATTATTTTTAGGTCATGAAAGCTTCTGTTTCGTACATGTCTGTATTACATGCTATGTACTGAATCGAAAAAAAATATCATTAGTCCACAGTTTTAATAAACGCTCCGAGCTGGTGATAAATAACCTGTTATGAATTTTTTCAACAGACACTTGTTACAGACGCGACGAAAATGAATTGTATGAACATATATATGTATATATATTTAAATAATAATATTAGGAGTTAATTTGCATATAATATAAAAAATATATCTCCTTATTACGTCTCTTCTGTACAGTCTACATTTAATCTTTTTATTTTGCGATATCTCTTTTTCTTTTCGTAGATGTATATATCCATAAATATTCTACCACTTGGTGCTGTACATTGTGTAATTCTTATACCTTATACCTTGAAAATATTAAAATTTTAGATCTATTAGGAACATACGGTCTTTTTTCAACGCTTTTTGTAGAGAAATTATCAACAACAGTGAACACATGAGCTTGCATTTTTAAAAACGGTTATTTGCGTAAAGATACACGTGTATCTACGTAAATGATCGTTCTTATCTTTTTTTGCACACTGAAACATTCATCACACGATCGTTGATTTATTATCGCAATTTAGCTTGCTTTATCGCTCAATTTATACTGCGAAATACGTAATTGATAGTTGCTCGCATAAATATAGTAGTTTCACCCTGTAAAATTGCTCTACCTCCCTTGTGACATTATGGAGGGGAATACACCGCGAAGCTAGACCGAGGGAGTCGATTGTCGTGTTTTCTTCGCGATATCACTTCTCGTACAGTCGTTATTCAGCTCGTTGGAAGGGGACGACGCGTGTGGTTTTCCGGAGTGATGGTTCAATGTGACGTTACATACTATTATGTTGAGAAGTACCGTCTGCCCGTTGTTGAAGATGAGTCTTAATTTGATCGGTATATGGCCTGGTGTCTCATACGGGACGCTTCGTTGGCTCTTTTATATGATAACTCTCGTTGTGATACAGTACTTTCAGTATTCCTACGTCTACGAGCATTTCGATTTCAACAATCTGACTAAGCTGATGGACGGATTGGGCCTCACTTTGGCTTACACCCTGACAATATTGAAGTTGATCAGCTTGTGGTTTAATCGTCGGTAAGACCAGCGATCGTTCAGTCAGTGATCGTTTCTAAATGATTTAAAAGACACTGATTGGTGATCGGTCGTAGGATATTCGCGGATATTTTGATCGCGATGGATGACGATTGGAAGGATAGCGGGACTAATTTGCGTGAATGCGTGATGATGAACAAGGCTAATTTGGCGCACCGTTGTTCCAATGCCATCATATCCGTTAACGCTATTGCCACTTTTTTATATTTTATCGAGATCCACGTACGTGGATATACACGTTCTAAAAACGGACAGTTTCGCAGGTTTCCGATACAGGTACAATTTTCGTCCGAGATTTATAAAACGCCTGTTTACGAGCTCGTCGGCGTGGGATTGTTTTTCCATGTGTTAAAAACGGCGATTATAATAGCAATATTAAATGATTTGATTTTAACGTTGGTGAGTTAAAAAACAGTTGGAAATCCTTTAGCTGAATTTATATCCAATAAGATTAACGTAATGCCATTTAAAATGTACTCTAGCTCAAGTTTTTTTAAATTAAAGTTTTTATTGGATTTGTTGTATCTTGCCTGAAATCCTAGTTTTTATTCGAGGTACTTCACGTAAGCGGACAAATCGATATCATGTGTCAAGAGTTAAAAGCGATTTCTTCCATGACAAAATCTAGCTCGATATCCACTAAATCGCTCATCGTAAGACACCAGAAGATCATATCGTTGTCGAAAAATATTGAAAGCTTCTTTTCATTTGTTGCTTTACTGCAGTTTGTATGGAATACTTTTGTTATTTGCGCCATAGGATTTATGGTCGTGATAGTGAGTAAGACTGCTGCAGCTATTGTAGAATAAACTATCCGTCATCCAAGATTACCTAAAATAGAAGTACATTCTGAAAATATGCCTGATTAAAATCGTGTTAATTATATTTATTAAAACTACTTTTTTTATAGTATCTAAGAAAGATAAGTCAGTTTATTCAATATTTAATTCACACAATGCAATTTTAAGACAAATGCAATATTATTATATTTATTTGGCAATAATAATAATAATTAAATAATAACTTAAAAAACATATTTTTATACAGATATATTTATCCAATTCTAATATTATTTTACTATCTGCAAACATTATTTATCATTTCAGTCTTTAGGTATGAACATGACGAATAAATTCGGGATATTGGTACAATTTATTATTCCATATTTTGCAGTGACAATAGAAGCTTTTGTTTTTTGTTTCGCCGGCGAGTATTTGAGCACTAAGGTAAGCATGCAGTTTTTATTTTTATCAATATTATTTCTGTTACATTGGATTGGAATAGATATACATATGTGCATATGTATAATAGGTATATATACATATATGTATATAAAAACCTTATACCGATTATTGCGAAGAATATTACTAAGGCCTTGGTAGTCTAAAGGCTTAGGACTCCTCCTCCTTAGTCCTATTACTCGTGACCGAGCATGGTGACTTCTCTCATATGCCTGTGGTGCGTACGCTGGTTGTACACAGTCATATGGGATCTACAGTTTAACGTCGATTTATTAGAGAAGTGCTCTTGGCAAGGATACTCTTGGTGGTTTGCCATTGCCTTCCGAGAGGAGCTACGAGCGTTCGAAAGAATTTTTCGGTTCTCTCTGGGATCGAATCATCCGGGATCTCTGGCATAGTAGTCTCGTGCGCTGCCTGCTACGCCACGCTCGCACTCAAAAGCTTAGAACGCTCGTACAGAATACAAGAAACCTGGGTTTAACTTTCGGCCGTGGTAATATTTTTCGCAATAAATATATCTCTTTTTTTTTATCATGGCCGGAGCCACTACCGCGTCTCCTGATATACAGTTTTTCAATACATTAATATCTTTCTAATATGATGCCTGATTGAGTATCAAATTATTAAAAATTACTTGTCAATTTAATTTAATTCGTGATATTATTACAGTAGGTTAATTGCGTTTATAAGTCTGGAAAACCAATTCGGCGCGCAGTTCAAATGACTATGAATATGGTATATATGCATATATATATATATATATATATATATTTATATATATATATATATAAAACATATATATAATTCACATTGAATTATTTAAGCATTAAAGATTCAGTTTCGACCGTTATAGGCATTTAATTTCTAGTATTGATTGCCTAAAAATCTTATAATCTTGATAATTTAATTGTAAAATGACTAACAAATGACATTATAACCAGTAGTTCGTTTTTACATTTAAGATCGTCTTAAACACAATTTTAAAATGTCATGTAAATCAATCACAGAGCCATAATAGCATTTTAAAAATAAGAATGGATTGTGAAAATACCGGCTTGTATATTATATATAATCGCATTTATCTAAACTTTGTTCTATGTATCGTGTGCTACAGTTCCATATACATATCAAATAATTTTTTACTATTTTTCAGAGCAAGACTATTGGCGATGCAGCGTATGAGACGGTTTGGTACGAATTATCTACTAGCGAATGTCGAATTTTATTATTTGTGATTCTCCGATCTCAAAAACAATTGACGATTACTGCTGGAAAAGTCATGGACATGACATTGGAAGGTTTTACTAACGTAAGTTTTTTGCTTAAAACTTTATATCGGATTTTTTCTATTGATAAGTTATTATTTATAATAATATTTTAATATTTTTCTTAATTATTTGTTATTATGGTTATTATTGCCGATAAGTGTCAATGTCATACAATAATACTTAATATGTTCAAAAAATTTAATATGTGGATCATATCGATTGTCTTTGAACTTCAATTAATCATTCCTGTTAATATTTCTTTTGCGTGATATTCTTTTAGGTTATGAAAGCTTCAGCTTCATATATTTCAGTTTTATATGCGATGTATTGAAAGTTGAATTAATTTATGTTGATCATATAAATATATATCGTCAAATCATAGAATGAATTAATAATGTATGTACATTTGTAGAAAGATTAATAGAGAAAAATAATTATTGTAAATATGCAGATTTTCTTTTATTTTCAGCAATTATTGTTTAATCTTATTTCAGTAAACTTAGTAGAATGTTTATGTTAATCTTTTTAGAATTTGACTTATAAGATAGAAGGTTTACATATTTTGCGATACATTCTGCCGCAATAGATTCTATTGAAAATATGTAATGTGTTTTAATATCAACGTTTGCTTCCAATTATTCTTTATCAAGCATAAGTTATTGCAAATTTTTTATAATGAGAGTAAAGATGATTCAATAATAATGTAATATTTAAACAGTATAATAACCACACAGTGTTCTTAACCACTATATTACAATTTACTTTGCTTATAGACTTTAGATTAAAAGTTATAATTTCCGTTTTCATTATCTGATCTTTCTGCGTAGAACAAAATTTTTTTTCTTCAAATTACAGACTAATATATATTCAACAAATTAATATTTTTGCTAATGCGACTGATTATTGTGCTGTATGTCATTTATCAGTCGGTTGTTTTTTCAAATTTAATTTTTAGATCTGCTCATAATGTGTAATTTTTTTCTTATAGTCATACTTTTTTATTTATACCAAAGAGTTATAATTGCGGTTTAAAAAAAATTATCTATTACTTTTCTATTGTGTTCAGTTCATCTAGCGGAGTCGACAATGATATTTTCCACGTGCGCCTTTTTCTGATTGCGAGAAAAAACCTGTAATCGCGCCTGTCATTGTAATTTAGTTTATTATTTCATGGCTGTGTCGTCGTACCACAAGATATATAATTGCGATTGATCGATGCTCACATTACCCTGTATTTCTTCTACGGGGTAGTTTAGCTCTCTGTGAAATTGCTAACTGTGTGCGAGGGGATGGGGAATGCACAAGAGTTTAAAGACCTCTTTTTCATATTTTCCTTGTGCTAACGCTCCTCCCCCGACAATCGAGATCCATTTCACTAGAACAAGACGACGCGAACGGTTCGGTCGACGTTTCAATGTGAATCTACGGACAGCTATGTTAACAAGCACTGTAAGCCCCTTGCTGAAACTCGGCCTTTGTTTGATCGGCATGTGGCCTGGTTTTTCGTGTAGAACGTTTTTTTGGTACTTTTACATGGCCACTCTCGTCGTTATGCAATACTTTCAGTATTCATACTTTTTTGCACAATTGGGCACAAACGATTTCTCTAAGTTAATGGATGGTTTGAGCATCACTCTGGATTACACTCTGACGTTTCTGAAACTATTAAGCCTTTGGCATAATCGTCGGTAAGATTCGCGACTATCGGTCGTGACTTTTAGACATTATTGAATAATCGGTTGCAGAATATTCTCTGATATTTTGGATGCAATGAACGACGACTGGAATAATTGCTCCACGCATACGTGCATGATGATGAATAAGGCCAATCTGGCGCATAGGTGTTCCAACGTCATGCTAACTCTTAACAGTTTGTCTGTTATTTTTTATTTCGTCGGCAATTACATGAGTCATCGCACAATTTCCACGGACTTCCGAGAATTTCCGATTCAGATACAATTTCCGTTCCATGCCACCGATTCGCCGATCTTTGAGTTCATTGTTCTGGGATTATTTTTTCATGTGTGGGAAACGGCAATTGTAATTGCATTGTTGAATTCCTTAATCTTAACATTGGTAAGTCAAGGAATGAGAACTTTTAAAGCCATTAGGTTAGTCAATAAAGTAATGGGTTATCGCACGAACTCTTTTTGATCAAATTAAATAGCGCATCTTTTAAATCGTCGCAAACGTGTTTCGAACTTTTAGTTCTTATTTCGAGGTACTTCACGTAAGCGGCCAGATCGATATCATGTGCCAAGGATTGAGAGAAATTTCCACCACGCGGAAATCTCATCCGTCAGCCATGAGATCGCTCATCGAGATGCATCAGAGGATTATATCTTTATCGAAGAATATCGACAATTTTTTCTCGTTTGTTGCACTGATACAATTCGTATGGAACACCATAGTTATCTGTTCCATAGGAATTATGATCATGATAGTGAGTAATTATGCTTTATCTGCAATGAAAATGCAATGTCTCCAGAAAACAAAAAAATTGTCTCGAAACTACGCTGTGTGCCAATCCTTGTTAAACATAATACCATTCCTTATTTATTCGTTCATTTTACTGTTTAAAATGTCAAAAGAGAGACAAATAAAATTTATAATATTTGATTTCTCGAAAGCAATTCTAGAGAGAGGAAATTTAAATCATTGCAAACATCTTTTGAACCTTGTGAAATATTTTTACGATAACTCAATTTCTCTCAGAATAATGTGTTATCTTATTTTTTTGACATTGGGATTACATTCTTAGAGTGTTGCATATAAAGTATAATACCAGTTCTCAATTAAAAGCACGAATGTGATATTACAACTTACTCCCAATTAACATAATCTAACACATAATTACACAGTCTCTAAGTACGAATGTGGAGGGGAAATCAGGATTATTAATACAATCCATTGTGCCCTACATCGCTGTTACATTAGAAGCTTTTGTTTTCTGTTTTGCTGGCGAATACCTAAGTACTAAGGTTAGCATGATTCCTTTGTTTTTAACGGTTTTTAGATATGAGTACTTTTCTCTAATACCATGTACACAACCATATTTTCTCAAAAATAACTATAGTTTTCCATTTTACGATTTAACGACAAGGTTTTATAGCTGCAATATATGTTCCTTGCATGCGCGTTCAGTTCGTACTACTGAACAATGTTTTAAAAACAAATCTTTCTTCTTTCTCAGAGCAAGTCCATTAGCGATGCGGCGTATGAGACACTTTGGTACGATCTGTCCACTAGCGAATGTCGTATCTTGTTATTGATAATTGTCAGATCTCAAAAACGATTGACGATTACCGCTGGAAAAATCATGGACCTGACTTTGGAAGGTTTTACAAGTGTAAGATTCTAATCGGTTTTAAGAATAGAAGAGATTAATGCCATTTACAAATGTAGAAATGTATTACTCAAAATCAAATATGTAACTATGAGTGTTGCAATTAGATATAATAATATTGAAATTGTATCATTGTCTATGTACATACAATAGTATGTATGTATACGACGATTGTATATACAAAACGTGTTGTTATCTATTGTTTATAATTTTTGTGATTTATTCTTGGAGTCTAAGAAATAAATTTAATGTTTAATTAATTATTTATAATATTCAGATTCTGGAGAACATCCGTTTATGCTATTTGTTGCTTTTGCATAATAATATTTTTTTTTCAGGTCATGAAAGCTTCAGCGTCGTACATGTCGGTGTTGCACGTAATGTATTGAAATTCAAATCTTGCGCAAATTAACTTTATTAGTTGAATAATCATTTGTAAAAGTATTTATAAAACAATAAAAACTATCAAAATTATTAGATAGTTAAATTTGTTTTGCTATAATCAATTACATTTGCTGGAAAATACAAAATTTAAAATGGAAATTATGATTTAACAAAGCATTTGTGTCAACATTTTTATATAATAAATAAAAATAGATCACTTAATTAAATTATTCATTATTTAAAAAATTCATTGTTATATACATATATCAAATTTTCTGTTTAAATAATGGTTGATTTTTGTTATATGTGCGCTATTTTATTTTTGTATAAAAAAATTTTTTAATATAATATCTTAAAATATGGCAGTGCAAAAAACATTTCAATATAACTTTATCAATATAATGTAATTTAGATGTTACAAGCAAGCGGATAAATTGATATAAGTTAATCAAATGATAATTTGATGTTCTAATAAAAAAAGAAGTTTTATTTTGCTTATTATTCATTTTGAGATTTTTGAAGATATTTTTCTTTATATACATGTATACATATACATAATCAAATACATTATTAACCAAATTTAATGTCTTAATTTGTATTTTTATTTTAATTTATAGATTATGAAGGCATTAGCAATATCAGTTATATATCAGTTTTGAATGCTGTATATTGATATTAACGAGAACGTGCGTGAATAACGGAAATTATAACATAAATACTAATAAGTTACAAAATAGACAATGAGTTAAGAATTTCATTATTTTTAATAAAATTAATTACCATTTGTTAACTATTAGTTAATAAATTACACAAACTAAAGTTGTATTTAATATTGAGGAGTTATTCACTAATGAAAATAATTTCTGATTTCTTGCATTTATGCTGTCTGAACATGATTCTAAAGTGATTTCATTTGTTTCTTAAAAAAAATTCGGGATGTGCGATCGAGTGTACGACAATGTGTTTTTGTTTAATTTCAGATGGTTTCTTGATTTTAATGATAAATGCTTAATTACCTCGTTGACTTATTTTCTCGCTGATTTCGTAAATAAGTGGCCCTTGCTGTTTAATATTCAGGCAATTAATGTAACTGGAATTAATTTTTCGTTCCTCGTGTATTCTCATTGTCATATTCTAAAATTGTATTTAAAATTGTGTGTATCTGAGTTAGATATTCTTTCAGGCATTGCTTCTTAATTTTACTCGAAGGACCGCATGTTCGATTTACATAAATACATTTCGTTGTTTTGCATCTGTAATTAACTGTTTATAATATCTGCTGTTCAAAACTTTTACTCTTGATATTGTCCCTCCAAGCAAGTCTTCAATATAGTTTATAATTACGTTCTTAGAATTAAAAAAAATTATTCAGTCATTATACTCCCACTCGTGTAGATTCTTTTATTCTATCCATACATTTTCTTTTTTAAAGAGGTTGAATGACATGATTACAACCCGCTTCTGTCTGTTAGAATACATTTTGTATAATCACAATTATACTATCATGATACTTTTAATGATTTTCATGATTGGTAGAAACATATAGACGTTTGTTTTTTGTTGATATTATTGTGTTGCTACGAAACAAGAAGCAAAAAACAAAAACTATTCTTTAGAAGACTGTTTTTTTTATCTTTAGCAGTACAATATGTTCACAATTGGAATACACGTTATTACATTGCTAATGAAATTATAGGATGTTCATAGAAATAATGAGTTCTGTCTCGTCTTATTGTCGTACTGTGCATCGTACAATAGCGATTGGTCCCTATTCATCTGTGAGTGGGGATGCATTGTGTGGAAGGGATAAACTTAAAGAAATGGACACTGCGCTCTCAGTTCGTTCTCAAACGAGTATGCTAGATGTGCCTATACTAATCTTCATTTTCTTACGTTTCAAAAGCTGTAGGCGAAAGATCATGAATACTGTCAGTCCGGCGGTGAAAATAGCGCTTCAATGTCTTGGCATATGGCCAAATGTGTCACATTCTACTATTTATTGGCTAAGTTTTATGTCGAGCATGTTGATTGTACAGTACTTCCAATATTCGTACATATTTGACCATTTAAGTGCTAGTGAACTATCAAATCTTATTGATGGTCTGCCTATGACTTTTAATTACAGTTTGACATTGTTTAAGCTGTCCAGTTTATGGATAAATCGTCGGTAAAATATAATATTAACGTACAGTGTAATACTACAATTCGATACTCAATTATTATATTCGAAAAATAGAATTTTTCCTTAGTTGTCTGAGAGACAGTTTTGATCTAATTCTTTTTAATCTAAAATAATATAGTATCATCTAAATCATAGCTCAAATATTAATGACTATAATATGCATGGCTTCTCAAAAGACAGTATAATATATTCTTATTTAGAATGATTGACAAAATAAAATATTATATTGTAGGATACTTTATAAAATTCTTGCTACTATGGATAATGATTGGTACGAGTGTATCAATATCGATCAGCATTTGTATATAATGACAATCAAAGCAAATATATCGCATTTCATCTCTAACGCTTTATTGAGCTTCACTGCGATTGTTGGTGTACTTTACCTCTTAGGCGAATATGCAGTTCGTTTTGTATTTTTAATTGAAAATTATAATGATAGTATGAAGCAGCTTCCTCTAAGACTGCAATTTCCCTTTGAAACTCAACAATCGCCGATGTTTGAGTTTCTCGTTATAACAATATTTCTACAAGCGATGATACACGTATGCACGGTTGCTATTTTAAATGGCTTAATCTTTTCTTTGGTAATTTAAATTTTGTATAAATTTGATTGTAATTTTACTTTTATTAATATTTATTATATTTAAATATTTTATTATTGTTATCATTTTTTAAATTAATGTTTTAATAGCGAAGTGATTTTTGACGCAAGTTTACAATACTGAACTTTACTCTCTATATTAAATGTTTTTTAAATAATTTGATAACTTTTGTTACATATAAGCAATTCTATTTTCGTATAAAAAAATTTTAAAGTACAACACTAGCGTTAAAATGTTTTTAAAATAACAATTTATTATAATATATAATATATTATGTAAGAACATCCCATGAGTATTTTATCATTATTCGATACATATTATTTATATACGTGTAATGATATTTTTTACACGCATTATTAATATATGAATTTTAAGTATATTTTTATAGGTGTTACATGCAAGTGGACAAATTGACATAGTATGTCAAGAATTTAACGATATTTTTAAGAATACTCTTTTTCATGGATCTTCATTAAGAATGCTGATTGAGAGGCATAACAAAATCATTTCATTTTCTGAGGATATTGAAAAACTCTTTTCTTTTTTTGCGTTAATGCAAATTGTTTTGAATACGTTAACTATGTGCTGCTTAGGTTTTTTCACCATAATTGTAAGTTCTGTAATTAATGCAGTTATTGATATTGTGTGTGACATTAATCCTTTAATTGTTCATCGAATTAGTGTATTCATAATGAAATTGCTGTTTTCCTGTTAGTGAAAGCAATTTTATCTTATTGTGTTATAATGTCTGAAGCCTTTGTTATTTGCTTTGCTGGAGAACATCTTGCTCTCAAGGTGCGTATTTAGAATTTATTAACCATAAATACGAATGTTTTTAACACAATGTACATAATACTGCTGTTGTAATGATAGAAATATGTGATATTCTTTCCTAATAAAAATATTTTAACATGTTGCGTTACATCAAACATTATTTAAAATAGGGATGCACCGGATATCCGGAAAGTATCCGGTATCCGGTATTATTGAGCACTTTTTTACTATCCAACCGGATAGTCGGATACCATTAGTATCCGGGAACATATCCGGTTGAAATTTGATATCATTAAATTGTTGATTTTTTCTTATATAAATGTTCTAGAAATAAATATGCATATTCATGAAGTTGTAATATCTTATACATTATTACAAAATTACAAACTTTTTCTCTATAGACTTCTTTTTTTTAGAAGACACTTTCTCGAAATCCGGTCGGATATCTGGAAAATGTCGGATATCGAAGAAATAGCCTTCTTAGATATCCGATGTTACATTCTGATTAATATGATATCTGATGTTACACTCTAGATTAATATGATAATATAATATATATGTCATATTATGACAAAATATATTTTTATACACAATTTCTTGTTGTAAAAAATATATTTATATATTTGGCAATTCTATTTATCAACTAATTGTTCGTTATGTTTAGAAGATTTTTATACGATGATACAGAAGAAAATATTTTCTTATCAAATAAATCGAATAAATACATGTAGATTTAAAAATGTCAATTCGAAATTATTTGATTTATTTTTTAGAGCAAATTGATTGCAAATGCAACATATGAAACGTTGTGGTATGATATGCCTGTAAATACGGGTAGAATTATGATGTTTATAATAATGAGATCTCAGAAGCGATTAACGATCACGGCAGGAAAAATGACGGATATGTCATTCGAAACTTTTACAAATGTAATTTTTTTAATGCTTTGGATACCTTATTAAAAAATAATTTTGTTTTGCTTATCATTAATTTTTTGAGATATTTATATTTTTCTTTATAAATGGACGTTCATAATTTATTAAGAAAAATTTAACTTCTTAATTTGTATTTTTATAGATTATGAAGACCACAGCATCTTATATATCAGTTTTAAATGCTATGTACTGATATTATTTTTAAAACGTGCCTTAATAATTGAAATTATAACATAAATAATAGTTTACATTATATGAACAATGAATTAAGTATTTCTAATTACAATTCATTAACTCTCAGTTAACAAATAACACAAATTAAAAGTGCATCTAATATATAGACAATTAACATATCTACGTATGTATGTATCTGCATTAGATGTTTTTGGATTGTTCCTTAAGCCCAATTTGATGATTGCATATTCGATTGTATGATCCGTAATAAACCGTTTATAATGTCTGCTATTTCAAACTTTTATTTGTGATATTTCTCTCCTCCAAGCGAGAATTTTCAATGTAATTACATTTCTAGAACTATAAAAATTATTCAGTTATTATACTTTATTTCGTCCAATCTCCTTATTTTCCCTTTAATTATTTTTTTTTTAAGATTAGAGGTTGAATGGGCATAATTACAATTTACTTCTTACTCTTAGAATACTTAATGTATAATCACAAACAATTATACTATCATGATACTTTCAATGATTAACGCGATTGGTAGGAAACGCAGTTTGTTTTTTTATTGACGACATTATGTTGCCAAAGAAACGAGTAAGCAAAAAAGGAATATCTCTCAAAGAACTTTACTTTAGGAGTATAGGTTCACTTTTTTATTTTAGCAGTATGGTATCGCGGTCGGAAAATACGTTATTATGGATTGCTAATGAAATTATAGGATGTTCATTCAAATAATGAGTTCTGTCTCGTCTTATTATCGTCGTACTGTGTAATATATAATAGCGATTGATCCGTGTTCTTCTGAGTGGGGACGTATCTTGTGGGGATGAAACGGACAGTGCACTCTTAGTTTCTTCTGTAACAAGCATACCGAATGTGTTGTTACTGATTTTAATTTTCTTAAGTATCAAAAACTGAAAAATCATGAGTACTGTCAGCCCGGCAGTGAAAATTGGCCTCCGATTTCTCGGCATATGGTCAGACGTGTCATATTCTACTATTTATTGGCTGAGTTTTATGTCGAGTATGTTGGTTATACAGTACTTCCAATATATGTACATATTTGAACACTTGAGGATTAGTGAGTTATCAAATCTTGTTGATGGACTGCCTATGACACTTGAGTATAGTTTGACATTTCTTAAATTGACAATTCTGTGGATACAACGTCGGTAAGATATCATATTAACAGAAGTCACTGGTGATCCACGCTGGACTTTCTGTTCAGGCAGTTTGATATTTCGGCTATAAAACGAACGTAATTATAAAATAATTTTTGATAAAAATTAATACATAATTATGATTTACTCAATATTGGTATTTTAGCTCTTTTGCTTTACAATAATAATAATAATAATAATAATAATAATAATAAACCATGTAATTTTTAAAACAATTACTATACATATTATTTAACAAATATATCAAACGCAAATAAAAATACTTTATTGGTTACTGATGACCAAAATGTGATCAAGTCACTTGAAATTAGATCAGCACGGAACGTATTAACACTATTAACATGTACCATAATAATATACAATTTTGCACAATTATTATGTTCAAGAAATACGATTTTTCTTCAGTATTCTAACATATATTTCGGAAGCGATACTTTTTAATATAAAATTATATGATACCACTTAAATCTTATTTTAAACATTGATACGTATAATATTGATAGTTTCTCACAAGACAATGTAATGTATTTAACTAAAACATATGATGAAATAAATAAAATATTGTAGAATTCTTCATAAAATTCTTGCTAGTATGGATAATGATTGGCATGAATGCATCAATACTGATCATCATTTGTGCATAATGACAATTAAAGCAAATATATCTCATTTCATATCCAATGCTATATTGAGCTTTACTGCCATCGTTGCAGCACTTTACTTCTTAGGCGAATACGCAATTCGTTTCGTACTTCTAACCGAAAATTATAATGACACTTTAAGACAGCTTCCTTTAAAGTTGCAATTTCCCTTTGAAAGTCAGCAATCGCCGATATTTGAAGTTCTTACTGTAACAATATTTCTACATCTGATGTTACACGCATGCACGGTCGCTATTTTAAATGGATTGATTTTTACTTTGGTAAGTCATATTTTATATATATATATATTTTATACATATATATATTTGCTTTTGAGTTTCCTTTTTCAATATACAATATTTTAATGTCAAAGCGGTTTATAACGCCATGTTATAACAATAAAATGTGTGTGTGTGTGTGTGTGTGTGTTATACAAATTTTTTTTATTAATTCGTTAACTTTAGTTATATGTAAACTATGCCATTTCTATCTATAAGAAACTTTAAAATAAAACGTTATTGCTAAAAATATTTTAAAGTAACTTTTATTACAATGTATTATACAAAAGTATCTTATATCTTTATAGTTTAAACATTCTTTATGATGATTCTCTTTACATGTAAAAATTGTAATTTTTGCTAAAATTGAAGTATATTTCAGGTGCTACACACGAGCGGACAAATTGATATAATATGTCAAGAGTTCAAAAATATTTCCGAAAAAACTCTTCTTCAGGGATCTCTTGCATCTTCATTTGGAATGTTGATCAAGAGGCATAACAGAGTAATTTCATTTTCCAAGAACATCGAACAACTCTTCTCCTTTATCGCATTGATGCAAGTTCTTTGGAATACGTTAGTCATTTGTAGTATAGGATTTTTCTTAATAGTTGTGAGTACTAATGAATACATAATAATTAATATTGTATATATCTTTTATTTTTCTTGTTTTTTATTTATCAAACTAGTCTATCCATAATGAAGCTAGTGTTTTCGTATTAGTGAAAACTGTTTTTGCTTATTGCGTTATAATGGTTGAAGCCTTTATCATTTGCTTTGCTGGAGAACATCTTAGCCTCAAGGTGTGTATTCGGAAGTCGTTAATTAAAAATATATAACTTTTTTGTGTTATAACATAACTTAATTGTGTTATTTTAATAATAAAGATGTATACCATTGTTTTCTAATGAAAGTATTTTAAAGTATTTTAATATATATATTATTATTTAAAGAAATAAAATTTATAAACAATTATTTACTATTTCAATTAATATTTGTTTAAATATATTGCAGTATTCTTTATAAATTATATTTTTAAATATATCGTAATGTAGTTCTTTATAAATATATCGTAGTTCTTTATAAATTAATTGTAGTATTATAATGATGATATATTTTTTATAGTAAAAGATTACTGAAATTATAATGATGATATATCTTTTATAATAAAAGGTCACTAAAATTGTAATGTGTCCTATTTATAAATAAATTGTTCGCTATAACTGAAAGACTTTCTAAAAATACAGAAAAATTGCATGAAGTATTTTTAATATTGTTAACAAGTATTCTTGTAATCATGATAGAAAAAAATTATTTTTCTAACAAGTAAATTGAATAAGTAAAAGTGGATCTAGAAAAAGTCAATGCATTAAAACTATTTGTATTGTTTTTTAGGGAAAATTAATTGCAAATGCAACATATGAAACGCTGTGGTATGATATGCCAGTAAATACGGAAAAAATTTTAATGTTTATAATAATGAGATCTCAGAAGCGATTGACGATTACAGCAGGGAAAATGATAGACATGTCATTCGAAACTTTTGCGAATGTAATCTTCTAAATTTTGATACTTCTTTGTTTTTACTTATTAAATTTGGTATTTTCTAAAACACTGTTTCATATTTATATGGACGTACCGTATAAATTAAATTAAATTTTTTGTAATGTTTTTTTTTAGATCATGAAGGCATCAGCGTCTTATATATCTGTTTTAAATGCTATGTATTAATACTATCAAGAATTTGTTATTTTCTAAAGTTATAACAGAATTAATATTAGTGAATAAGTTCAAAAATATTGTAAGTGAATTAAGAAATTAGTTGTTATTAAAATTAGCTACTACTTAAACTATGAGTTAATAAATTACACAAAATGTACTTATTATACAAACAATTAACGTAACTAAAAAGAATTTCTTCTTTCTCTATTATTATTGATCTTTATTTTATTTAAAGAGAGAGAGATACATATTATATTTACGTCATATGTTTTTGGCTATTGTCTCTTAATCCAGAGGATAGCATATTTGATTCGTGTAAACGTATAATAACAGTCATATTCGATTTACATGAACATATTTCATTTGTATTAACATTAACTTTCTTTATAACGTATATTATTGTGCACTATACTATTGTTCAAAACTTTTACTTTTAATATTTCTCTACCAAGCGAATTTTTTATATAATTATGTTCCCAGAATTGTTAGAGAAAATTATTCAGTCATTATACATATCTCTAAATAGTAGAGTTCTTTTGTTCTCTGGTTAATTTATTTCTTAGATCGGCGGTTAAATGACATAAACACAATCCATTTCTGTTTTTTAGAAAACCTAATGTATAATGACAACTATACTATCATAATACGTTTAATGATTTTCGCAATTGGTAGAAATCGTGCAGACATTTATTTCTTGTTGACGATATTGCGTTGCTAAAGAAACACATTTGCAAAAAACAGAAATTATTCCTCAAGAAAGTTATTATTTTTTATTTCAGCAGAATAATATCGTTACTTCATGGTCGGAATACACGTTATTAGATTGTTAATGAAATTATAGGATGTTCATGCAAATGATGAGTTCTCTCTTGCTTAGTATCGTGCGACATGTAATAGCGATTGATCCATATTCACCAGAGTGGGGACGCACGGTGTGGGGATGCACTTGAAAAATCAGACGGTGCACTTTCATTTCTTTATCAACCAGAGTAGCGAACAAATGTGCTAAAACAGACTATTATTTTCTTAAATTTATTGGCAAATGTCAATTACAAGTACTGTCAGCCCAGCGCTGAGATTTGGTCTTCGTTTCTTTGGCTTTTGGCCGGGTGTGTCATATTCTACAGTTTATTGGTTGAGTTTTATGTCAAGTATGCTGATTATACAGTACTTCCAATACTTGTATACGTTTGATCATTTGAAGATCAGTGAGTTATCAAATCTTGCTGACAGTTCGCTTTTTACTCTGGATTACAGTTTAACATGTTTTAAAATGATTGGTTTATGGATACGTCGTCGGTAAGATGATGTAATATATTGCGTAATATATCGTTGTGTTCGAGAAATAAGTTTGCCTTTTAATTTCTAATATACTCTTGATCTAATTTTTTAAAATTAAAAGTGGTTTAATAATACCTAAATCCGAAGTAGTAAGATAAAATGACTTCTTAAGAGCATCTTTAATTTCAATAAGATATCACCTTACTACTTGTTTATTCATCTTATTAATTTAAACATTGAAGTATACTGCAACATTATTTGAAAAGAAAATAAGTATTATTTATATCTATAACATTTGATTAAAGCACTGTGTTAAGTAATATCTACATTGCAGAGTTCTTCATAAAATTTTGGCCGATATGGATAATGATTGGCGCGAATGTACTAACATCGAGAAACATTTGCATATGATGGCAATTAAAGCTAATATATCGCATTTCTTTTTTAACGCTTTATTAAGCTGTAATATGATCATTACAATAATTTATCTCTTGGGCGATTACGTAATTTGTTCCGTATTTCTAAATAAAAATTACAATAATACTGTGCGGCAAATTCCTATAAAAATACAATTTCCATTTGAAATCCAACAATCGCCTAAATTTGAATTTATTGCTGTTATAATATTTATACATACGTTATTACAAGTATGGACAAATACTATTGTAAATGGATTGGTCTTTACTTTGGTAACTTATATTGTACATTTGTTGTTTTAAATTTTTATTAATTTTTATATAATAGCGATTTATACAAACTTATAAGTATAACGTTGTTACATGAAGATTTCTCATGTAGCAATTTGTAGAATTTTGTTTATGTGACATAGTACAAAAATACATGCTGCATTTCAAACTTCAAAGTATAATTAATGTCAGTATTAAAAATATTTTGCGGTTAAATGAAATACATTATGTAAGATTACTGTATTTATTGAATCTTTGTCCTAGAAACATTTAAAATAATAAAAATTTTTTTATATGGCAATAATTGCAATTTTTGAAAAAATTTAAGTTTATTTTAGGCGCTTCATGTGAGCGGGCAAATTGATATCATTTGTCAAGGATTTAAAAATATTTCTGAGAATACTCTTTGTTATGGATCTTCCATATCATCATTGGGACTGCTGATCGAGAGACACAAAAGAGTTATTTCTTTTTCCGAGAACATGGAACGACTATTCTCTTTTATCGCATTAATGCAAGTTGTTTGGAATACCTTAGTAATTTGCTGTCTAGGATGTCTCTTCATAATTGTAAGTACTGTAATAAACGTATGCAATGTTATGATAGATGTCATATATTTTATTCATTTCCATTTATTGATATAGTCTATTCATAATGAAACTGGTATTTTCGTGTTAATGAAAACCGTTTTTGCTTACTTTGCAATAACGATGGAACCATTTATTATTTGCTTTGCTGGAGAATATCTTACCCACAAGGTGAGCAAGAGTGATTACCTGTAAATATACAATTTTTGAAACACAACATAGCTAATAATATAATAATGAAAATTATAATAATACATTATCTTCTATTATAATAATACATTATCTTTCTAATTATAATAACATTATCTTTTAATAAAAATACTTCGATAAAGTACATAAAATATTATTTCAGATAATTAATTTCTTAAATAACAACACTTTTTTTTAAAGGTTTTTTTTAAGGTTTATTTTTTTTTTTCTAAACAGATAATATTTTTTATAAAAAGTAATGACATATTTTATATTAAAATTTGTAGTAAAAGTTATCTAAAATTACATAAATATTTATAAAGTACTGATTTATTAATGCTCGTCAACTAATTATTTATTATAAAGTTTCTATAATTTGAAAATGAAAGTAAATATAGAATTAATTTAAGAATTTCTGATATCTTCATTACAAAGGCTGGTTTATAGTTTAAAACTGTCTTAAATACAGTCATAAATTCGAAATAATATTATATATATATATATATATATGAAAGGACTCTCAATTTTTAATATAACAACAAACAAAGAAATTGAAGGCTAATGAGAGTCAGCACGAGAGAGAATACGTAAATTATTAAACTGTCATGAATGTCATAATTAAATGTAATGTATGTTATAATTAATTGTCGTAATTGTCATTAATTAATCACAGAACCGTATAAGAATCTTAAGATATTTTTTAAGACAGTTTTAAAATAAGAATCGACTATGAATGCAGGCCTACATTTTCACAATGTGGATAGAAAAATATTTTTGAGCCGAATTTAAAAATAGTTACAAAAAGATTTGCTGTATATGTATCATTTTTAGAGCAAATTAATTGCCAGTGCAACGTATGAAATGCTATGGTATGATATGCCGTCAAATTACAGTAAAATTATAGTGTTTATAATAATGAGATCACAAAAACGACTGGCAATTACGGCAGGAAAAATGATGGATATGTCATTCGAAACTTTTACAAATGTAATCTTTTAAATTTTTTGGATGTCTAATAATTAATTTTAATTTATTTACAAATTAATTTTAGGATCTGCTGCTACGTGTTTCCGTTATAAGTAAATATAATTTAGATCAAATTTAATTTTTTAACTTAAATTTTTTAGATTATGAAGGCATCAGCATCATATGTATCCGTTTTAATAGCTATGTATTGACATCAACAAAATAGCATGACATCTATTTGCTGAAATTATAGCATAGTTAATTTAAAACATGTTAAAAATATTTGTAATGACCGAAGTAGAATAACAAGTCATCATGATAACAAAATCATCATTAAAAGTTGTTGTACAATCATTTACGATTTATTTTGATGTCATTTTGATGTTATTATGACTTATTGTTCTATTTAGGGAATTAGATTGTTAAATTGTCATATTAAACTGGTGACTGTTATTCATTAACGATCAGTTAATAAAATATAAAAATTTACATTACATTTACGCTTATGAAACATTTAACAATTAGTTTTTACTATAATAAAAAATCTGCACTGTGTGTATTTTAATATATTTTTATTTATTTTTTATATATTGAAATCTGAATAAGAATTTTGAAAAAACCGTGATATATATATATATATATATCGATTGTGCCTTAAAAAGTACAAAATGCTGGAGGGTTATACATTATTGCTTAAAAAGATAAGCTTGCAGTGATATATAGGCTGCGTTAGTGGTTTAGCTTGATGACTTTTTGTTACAAGATTGCATATTTGACTCGTATTTTATTTATAATTGGACTCCTCTATATTATATATATGATTGCAATTTTTATTTTTAAATTCAATATGCAAGTTTTACGGATAAATATTTTTAAATTATTAATAGAAATTACGAATTATTTCATTTCAGTCAGACAGTTTTGTTGTCCTTCCTTTATCATATTTCATTAAAAATTATTAAATGAATGTAATTTATTTTTGTTTGCTTAGAGTCTTAGAATATCTAATATATGTAAACATCATGTCATTCATTTAATATTTTCATGAAAAGTAAGAATTGTGATGAACATATTTCTTCGGATATGAGATATCAACGAGAACATGCGTCAATATATAACTGGAATTATAACTTAAATAATGAAAACAAATAAGTTACAACATATAAATTTATTACAATAAATTAAAGATGATATTGTTATTAACAAAATTAATTATTATTCATTAACTGTCAATTAATAAATTACAAAAACTAAAAGAGCATCTAATATACAAGCAACTTATATATCTATGTATGTATCT